TGGGAAATTGCGAGTCCTTTAGAAGGGGACCTGACTTGAGGAAATCAGTTTCTGGGGTGTGTGTGTGTGTGTGTGTGTGTTTGTGCACGGTATGTGAGGGGAAGAATGGGTCTTATAGCCTGATGTTTCCTTTGTCTCCTCATCCACTGAGAAATGATCACACAGCCTCATGCTCCCACTACTACAGATTAGAGCCTGTCCCCCTGCTTCTGTGGCTCTCCCGAGCCCCATGATGGACTAACCTGTTTCCCTTGTTGCTTCTTGTTGGGTGTTTGGTTATAGCAATGAGAAAAGTAATACATCATCTGTACTAAGATTGATTCTCCCACAGAATTAACTGTAATCTATCCCAACCACATCAATGAAAAATCATCACTGTTTGCCCTGAAGGAGTTGTACTAATTGACAAAGCTGGCCCTCACCCTTCCCAGAATTGATCTGGAAGGCTCATGTATTTTTTCCACTTAAAAAGATAATTTTCCTTCAGCTTAGTTCCAGATAATTAGGCTTGTCTAAGCCAGGTGGTTTGTAAATAATGAATTACATTATCTGCAAGAACATAACATTGCTACATTTGGCTGGCCAGTATCCTGATGTATACTTTTCAGTGTACCCAAAGACCAGGACAACTGAAAAGATTTAATGGATGTGTGAATGCAAGCCAAGGTAAATAAAAGTGAATTGAAAGCCAGACCTGATGGCACAGGCTGCGATTCTAGCTACTCAGGAGGCTTGAGGCAGGAGAGTTGAAATTCCATGGCCTCTTCAGGCAACTTGGCAATAAAAAAGGGAATCGGCGAGATGGCTCAGTGGTTGTCAGCACTTGCTGCTCTGACGGAAGACCCCAGCTCTGTTCTAAGCATTCTTATCATAATCTCCTGTAATTCCAAGTCCGGGGGATCTGATACCTTATTCTGTCCTCTGCAGGCATGCACAATGTGCACAAAAAGTAGGCACATAGGGCTGGAGAGATAGCTCAGCGGTTAAGAGCATTGCCTGCTCTTCCAAAGGTCCTGAGTTCAATTCCCAGCAACCACATGGTGGCTCACAACCATCTGTAATGAGGTCTGGTGCCCTCGTCTGGCCTTCAGGCACACACACAGACTGAATATTGTATACATAATTAATAAATAATAAATAGTAGGCACATACATGTATATGTAAATACAAATAAAATTATTTAAAAATTAAAATATGAAGAAGAGTGGGGATACGGCTCAGCAGTACAGCACTCGACTAGCATGTGTGAGGCCTGAGGTTCAATCTCTACCACCACAGGGGGGAAGAGGTGAATTTGTACGACACACACAGTTATAGAATGGCTTCCTGAGGAAAGCAGCTATCGCTTCTGCGTGTCCAGCCTCTTTCCCTCTGTTAACAATGGAAGAGTGGGTCTTGCTGTGCATCTGTGTACCTAGCTTCTTCCCGTTCTTTGTAGTCCTGAGGGCTTGTCAATATTTTTGTGCTGTTTCTCTTTATTTTTTTCTCTTCCCCTCTGTCTTAGTTAGGGTTTCATTTGCTGCAATGAAACACCATGACCAAAAAGAAAGTTGGGGAGGAAAGGGATTATTGGGCTTACACTTTCAGATTGGGGAAGTCAGGACAGGAACTCAAACAGGACAGGATCCCAGAGGCAGGAGCTGATGCAGAGGCCACAGGAGAGAGCTGCTTACTAGCTTGGTCCCCCTGACTTGCTCAGCCTCTTTCTTACAGAACCCAGGACCAGCAGTCTAGGGATGGCACCACCCACCAAGGACTGATCACTAATTGAGAAAATGCCTTACAGCTGGTTCTCATGGAGGCACGTCCTCAACTGAGGCTCCTTCCTTGGATGACTCTAGCTTGTGAGAAGTTGACACCCAACACCAGCCAGTATGGCCTATCTTAGCTAAACTTGGGGGATCTGAATGGGAGAGAAAATTGACAAAAAGTAACTGGAAGCAGTGAATCAGTACAATAGCCATGTTCTGGAAAAGGCTAGCCAGGAGTCCCTACTCCTCTTGGTCCCCAAATTACACCCTGATGGACTCACCCTTCCAGGGCTGTAAGGGGTGAGGCCTTGTTCAATCCCGTGAGTTGTCATTTTTTTCTCTACTTACTATTATTTTTCGTTTTAAATTTAATTGGATCTGAATTTTTCCTATAGCTTGCCATTAAAGGGATGTGGTTTGGCCTTCCCGTTTCAACTTCCAACCCCATCATCAGGATGGGAAGTTTGAAACTGAGGATGATAGATGGGAAGCAAGGTTGGCGTCATAGAGGCAATGCCTGCCCTGGTGCTGGTTGCTGTGTAGTTGGTTTTAAGAAAAGCAGAAGTAACTTTCTCTCAGGCCCGTGGTGTCGGCAAGATGAGCAAATGCTGTGGTCTCCGGACTGCCAGGAAGCTCCGCAGCCACCGACGGGACCCGAAGTGGCATGATAAACAATACAAGAAAGCCCACTTGGGCACAGCCTGAAGGCCAATCCTGGAGTCCACTTTAAGGCTGTTAAAGTAGCCAATGTGTCCCTTTTGGCCCTGGACAAGGGCAAGAAGGAAAAACCAAGATCTTAAATTCTGGCAATGGAAGCACAGTAATAAATTTTCCTATTCTGAAAAAAAAAAAAAAGAAAAGCAGAAGTAAACAGCAAGGCTTAAACTGTGGCAGCAGCTCATGCTTCACAATCTCCTCACACTGCTTGTTACAACAAACACGAAAACAGATTACAGCACTGGTCAACGTGACCCTCAGTACCGTCCTTTCTCATGGAAAACACCTATTTCTGATCTTACTTACCAAGAGGGGACAATGTCAAGTTTCTGAGCTGAAAGACAAATACTGTGTGCCATGTGACTCCATTATAATTTTTGCAAACATTTGTTGATTACTCAAGTGTTTCTTCAGTGACAGAGACCCTGAAGTGCTCTGAATGATAGTCATAGCTTCTGCCCTTGACAGCAGATATTAAAAACTTGAGGGTTTGAAATAGAGCAATTTACACTGGGCAGTGGTGGTGCAAGTTCTAGAACAGTCAGGGCTACACATAGAAACACTGTGTCGAAAAACCAAAATAAATAATAAAATAGTACAGTTTATAACTAAAAAAAAATTATGGCCATGTTCCATGATGTTACCAAGGCCAAATGAAGCACAAAGGGGCTCATGGAAAGTCCCCCTGCATATCCAAAGCACAACAAAATGAGAAGCATGGAAAAAGACAGCGTTTTATCCTTTTTTTTTTTTTTTTGGTTTTTTGAGACAAGGTTTCTCTGTAGCTCTGGAGCTGTCCTGGAACTAGCTCTTATAAACCAGGATGACCTCAAACTCCCAGAGCTCTGCCTGCCTCTGCCTCCTGAGCATTGGGATTAAAAGTGTGTACCACCACCCACCCAGCTAAAAGAAGCTTTGAGAAGCAAGTGGAAGTTGGTTGTGTAAGTAAAGAAGGCCTGATCCAGAGTGGAAACAAAAGAATGGAGGAGGAAAGGACCAAGGGCGCTAGCTAGCTTCATGAGGAGACTGTGGAGTTGCAGGGCCTTACACTTGGTCCGTTGCTCTGCTGCCATTGTCTAGAAAGTTCAAAGAGTCCTTGAACTTCCATGTCTAGCTGACCCTCCAGATTCCGCAGTAGGTCCGGAGGAATCCAGTATGTGAATACTCTCTGAAAGATATAAAGCACGGCTGGGTGGATTAGTGGGCAGCCACTAATTAGTGTTCCTGCCCTAATCTCTGGAGCCTGTAAATGTGAGGTGGCAAAAGAATCTTTGAAGATGCGATGATTAAAGATTTGAGATACAGAGATTGCCTGGGTGAGCCCCACGCAATAGGTCTTTCTCTGCAGGGGAACCAGAGAGATAGGGTCAGAAAGCACATGGCAATGGAAGCAGGCTATGCCACTGTGTTGTGTGAAGTCCTGATTCTAGGATGCAAGTGGTTCTAGAAAAAGTTCTAGTGGAAAGAGCAAGGAAACATGGTTCTCTCTCGAATACTCCAAACAAATGCAGTACTGTGGATTCATTTTGAACTTTTGGCTTCCAGAATGTAAGATAATACATTTGTTTGTTTTTAGCCACTAAATTTCTGGTCATTTGTTACATCAACAATGACAAATTGATACATGCTACCTAAAGTGTTTCCTATAACCCAGGGATATTGACAAAGCTAGCGGTTACCATTTATCGAATACTTCCTATTTGCTAGGTACTACAGGAAGCCTATGTACATAACCTTACATAGTCCTAGGACAATATTTGAGGTGTAATTAAGACCACGAGACTGACTTTGTGGTATTCCTTGGCTCCCGACTGCCGGGGTACCTTTCCATCTGAGCTGCAATGCTTGTAACTAGAAGGTGGTAATTTTAGAATAGCCCACGTCGCTTCTAGTTTTTCTGTGCCTTTATCCTGATTCTTCCTCTTCGCTGTGTGGGTTTGGTGTTCTCTTCATGCTTTAAAGTGCGTTATAGATTTTCCGGTACTAGTAGAGGAGTAGGGGAGACACCAGGCAATGGCATTCACTTCTGGGGCGTGTGACATGAAGGAGGTGCTGAAGCCACCTTGACAAGATGCCAGGTGGTTTTAGGTAACTGCAGAGGTGAGAAAGGAGGCAAAGAAAGCTCTTGGGACAGCAAGTTAAGATCTTGCCTATCGAGAATGTCTTGACTCCAAAAGGACAAGCGGTGACCAGGAACAACCGGCACAATACCGGAAGCCCTGAGGGCCCCCAGCCTCGTTTTCCAGAGCAACGAAACAGAGGCTTCGTTGCCACCGCCAACCCCTAAAACAGTACTCGCTCTCCCGCCCCGCTCTTGGGTGTTTTGGAGCCCTCGTGGTCCCGCCTCATTGGCCGACGCAGAGCCCCGCCTCAGGGAGGCAGAGCACCTCCCAGCCCGTAGTTCTCCATTTTCAAGGCCTTCCCGGTGCGCGTGAGTGGGTGGGAGGGGGTGGGGATGCAGGGACTACGACTCCCAGAAGGCTTTGCACAGAGGGCGTGATCACAACTGAGGACTCCGGGGGCGGGGCCTCCTGGGATGAAGCGGGGGCGCGCAGCGCTGGTACATCAGTCGCTGAGCTGCTGGGGACCGTAGAGCGTTTCCATCCTGAGGCCGGCGCGCAGACCTCTGGTCCTGGAGGCTCCCGGTTCCCGGGCACTGCCTCCAGCCGTCGTCATCGCGGCGGCCCGCCGTTCCCCAGCTCCGAGCGGCCGAGGTCACCATGAGTCCGGGGTTCCGCCGGGCCGTCGTCGGGCAGGGGGCGGCGGCCGCCGTGCAATTGCTGGTCACCCTGAGCTTCCTCCCAAGTCTCGTCAAGACCCAGGTAAGCCGGAGAGGCGGGAGGCGGGGGACGGGCCGCGCCGGCGTCGCCGAGGGGCCGAGGGGGAGGTACGAGTGGCCGGTCAGGGACTGAGAGAACCGCACCGGCTAGTGCGGGAAACGTCTATAAAGCGCGGCTGGCGCGGGGACGCGACACGCGTGGCGGAGGCAGACGGAAGAGGAAGATGGTGACGGCCAGTAAGCGCTAGCGGCTTTATCGTTGTGATGGTGACGGGGAGGAAAACCTCGGTGTCTTGAGCAAGAGGCGGGGTGGTGGGGGGCACCTTTTCCTCTGGAGATGACAGGGAGCCTCTCCATCCTTTTCCTGAGAGGACTAGAGGGGGGGAGGAGGACAGGTCTTCACTTCCTTGAACTTGTGTACTAGAGATTGCCAGGCTTTACCCGCCTTATTATTGCCCACCTGTCCTACGTATGCAAAGCGGCGTTGCCAGGTGAGCCCACTTAAGGACACTGGAGGATCTGGGCCCTGACTGTGGGCCCCTCGTAGAAAGGCTTGTTCTGGAGAGTCCGTTGGACTTTAGGGTTGCCTCGATGAAGTGGATATTACTGTAGAGCTCTATATGCTAGAAAGTCCAGGGTTAGCTGATCTCAGTCTCTTGCCTTGAAGAGAGGTAGGTTTGTTGCTTTTTAAAGTAAGATTTGAATAGGTTGCCAGATGCTGCTGCATCTTGTCTGCACCTGCTGCAAAGTGTTAGCTCAAAGAGCCAAAACTGAATCAAAACAAGTGTCTCAGATGGCCTGGTAATGAGGGGCATGTAGTTTGAAGCAATTAACGCTCATTGCTAAAAAATAATAATAATGGTAACTATGAGGATAACCATGTAAACATGTTTTTCTAACTTTGTTCTTGGTGTTAAAATGCCGAGCACTAATTCCTAGAATGCTTGAATATTATGTTTGTGTCCATGTGAGTGTTCTTTAAATGAATAAGTTGATTTTAAAAAGAAGCAACAGCTGGGAACAGTGGTGCACACCTGTAACCCTAGCACTCAGGAGGGAAAAAACAAAACAAAAACGGAAGGAGTGCCACAGGTTGGTCGCTAGCTTGGCCTTCATTTAAGTTCCAGGCTAACCAGGACTGCATAGAAAGACCCACTCTCAAAAAACTAAACACCGAACCAACGAGAATAAAGGAAGGAAGGGAAAGGAAAAGAAACTCTTGGTTAAATGTGGAGATTCTCTGACCCCCTTCAATATATTTTGAGTCCATCTGGAACTGAGCAAGGAATAAGCATTTTAAACAAGCCTTGCGAGTGTCTGTAATGAAGTTGTTTTTTCCACTATGTCTTAGCCTGGTTTGGAAAACACTATGATAGAATTCTGGATGTATTTACTAGACTTAGCAAAGATAAATTTCCCAGGCCATCAATAGCAAAATTTTTTTTCTAGTTACTAGTTTATCCGGTTTGAGTGGACCTTACATTTAGATGTTTTTATAAAGTCTGATTTCTCATTTTCTTGCTTAATATGTCATATTTTAATTTGTATTTATATAATTTATCACCAGTCTAGAAGCTTCACTTAAGGTTTTTCCAGCTACCAATAATCATACTTATTAGTGGTTTATAATGCACCTGTAATTCTGTTTCCTTATATCCAGATTAATATATATAGCTCAACAGTTAAATATTAGTGCATTTCAATGTATCACTGTGCTAAAAAGTCTACTACAAAAGTATATGTATATTTTGTTTTCAGTGGTTTGATATATAGTTTTTTTAATAACATTTAGTATATAGTTTTTAATAACATTTAAATGTAACATGCTTAATTATATATTACATTTTATTTGGTTAAGGCTGTGATGGTAAGTGAATTTCAGAGAGCTTAATTGACTTGTTAAGTGACATAGGCTGGGGCCCTGATGGAGCCGCTTCTGCTCTACACAGTAGTAATTGGTATACTTGCTTCAGAGTATAGAGACGCAGTGACCAGAAAATCAGAAAGTGGAACTAAGACTTTCTTTCTTTTTTTTTTTAAACTTCTCATGCATCCTAAACTTGGTAAGAAAAAAAAAAGAAAAACCCATAAAGATAAAAGGAAGAAATTAGAACTCTTGAAAAACACCTCTGTTCTCAAGAAATCAAAGTCATTTAAGGAAATGAGTACTTTGCCTTCTATATTGAAAGCAGGAAAATATTCTTGACCATGTGAAAGGATGTTCATTTGTATATCTCATGCCCCATTTTCTTATAAATGAAATGCAAATATGATTCATGGCATGTTACATACGGTTTTCCTGTAAAAGGATATTTCAGTCAGATATATTTGAAATCCTTTAAAATGCCCATCTGCGGTGGCATGAAGTCAAGAAACACACAGCTCCCCACCAAATGTAAGTCAGAAACGTGGGACTCATAGTGTCTAACTCCCATTACCTCAGGCTGTCTTTTAACCCCAAAGATCAAGCTTCTAGTCTCACAGCTTCGCAGGAGGTGGAATTGGGAAGAAATAACAGTAGTGTCTTCCCTAAGCTCCCCCCCCACACACACACAAATCCTGGACCCTAAGAGCTACATTCTTAGTGTAAGCGTGAATGAGAAATGAGTCCCATTTTGAGTAAAGGGGAAAATAAAAGAACTTATTAAAGGAAAGGGATGAAAACTCAGTTGAGAATCTGTGAGCAGCCTTCACAGGCCTTTTCAGGCAAAGGTTGTACCACTTGTGTGTGCTAGGATAAGCTTTGGTTAGAAGTTGAATTCATGGCAAGCCCAGGTTCATGGTCCCACAAGTTCTCAGAAAAAGCAAATATCTCTTCCTCCTAGAGAAGTGTATTTTCAACTCAAGGACTTAAGATTTTTTTCAGAGATAGTGTTCAGTAGAATAAACAGCTAACAGTGTGCCAAAAAAAGTAATCACCGAAACCACAAGGCAAGAGGGCACCATGAATCAGATACAGATAGTCCCTGTGTTATGATGCTTGAATTTACAATATGTTTTTTTAACTTTACAAATGTTAGAAAGCCTTGGTAGAAACTATTTCATATTTTGATTTTTTTTTCTTCTTCTCTGACTAGCTACGTACTTTCAGTGCTGGGCAGGGACAGAGAGCCACAGTCTTGATCAGCTAGGCAAACACAAGGGCAGACGACTTGTACACCCCAAATTGTGCCCTGTGTTTCTGTGCAATGATGTATGGCAGGTTGTGTGTCTTAACTGAGTTTCCATTTGATATTTTTTGTTTTAGTGAGCTTATTAGGGAAGATTTCTCATAGGAAGTTGAGGAATATCTATAGTAGAAACACCAGAGACAGTAAATGACTTTAGGTTCTGATATTTTTAGGTAAGTAACTTACTATCAGTTTTAATGTATTTAAATAAAAAACCACATAGAAGTATGAAAAAACAGATCTAAAAGAATGGTCAGAATATCAAAAATAATGAAATTGAAGTTTTCAAAGTAAAATTTAAGACAAGTGTAGTGGTGTGAACCTGTAATCTCTCTCAAAAGGTAGGAAGCAGGCTCAAGGTTAGTATCAGTTAGGTAGCTAGTTCCTTCTTAGCCCAAGCTGCCTCGGACTCTGTCTCCAAAAAAAAAAAAGTAAAATTTGAAACTCAAAGGATGAATTAAATAGCTGATTACACCCAGCTGAAGAAATTTAAATTACAGATTTTTCAACTTAATCCTTCATCATCTGCTCTTCTGCCCCGTCAGCTTCATTACTAACAAAGGAGAACTTGCTATAGAGTAATCGACTTTTAACTGGTGTCTGCCAGCTGTGTGATTGTTGGTTACAAGCGCGGATGAGTCACGTGTGCTCTTCTATTAGGGGCCATTTCTTCTTTCCCACTCAAGGGAATGGGTCCCTTCATGTCTTCTTTTTCCCTAGGTCTTTAATTTTTCCTTCCCCTAATGGGTGCTGCTTACTGTCATCCTATGATCTCGTGCTCTTGTGTTCTTGGGATTGAACTCTGGTCCTCATCAAGCACATTACTGATTGAGCTACCCCTTCCTCCTTTTTTAAATTCTATAGCTAGAAAAATTCTTGAGTTGTTTCATTTTCTCCCGTTCTGTTTAGCCTAACTTTATTCTTCCTGTTTTATTTAGCTTATTCGTTATAGTCAAACTCCTCTGCTACTACCCTGAAACTGCTCTCTCTTGTCAAGGTTGCCGTGTCTTTATTGTCAATACATTAGTTGTGAAACCTCAAGTTTTACCTATCAGCAGAATTTTTTTTTTCCCCACAGCTCAACTCTTAACTCTTTTAAGTACTTATTTCTTGCTAATGCTCCTGGTTGACTTCATCTGTAGTGGGCTGGTCCATCATTAGAACATTCTGCCCTAGAGTTTCAGGGTTTGTATCTTGTTTATCTTACCTAGATGCTTAGTTTTGAAAACCCATCTATACCCGAGTTTCAGGTTTATGTTTGAAGACAAGAAATCTCAGTTCTAGATCACCATATCCATTTTTTTTATTTGCCAGCATTTACATTTGGATGTCAAGCATCTCAAACTTCAGAATCAGAAAGCAATGAATGTAGTACATTAGGACAAAAATCCACTACTCCCTCATACCTCTGTGTGGTTTCTTGATTGGTAAAATTTAAATCATAGATTAATATTAAGTATTTAGGAGGGCATGTCTCAACATTAGCTCCTGATCATCGGTGCTGAGATACTAACTTGATATAAAAACTTTGGAAGTCAGCCTGCTCTACCCCTGTAAAGCTGAACGTGTACCTTTACACCCAAGATTAACACCTTAAGAAACTCTTGCACATATATCCGAAGATATACGTACAAAGATATTGTGTACCTTTGCTCTTTAGTCAAATTTTTTTTCAAATTTATAATCAATATGGAATATATTTGTTTCCTGTTTGCTGCTTTAACAAATCTCTATAATTTATAAACAATATAATTTTTTAATCTTATAGTTTTGGGGGCCAAAAATTTGAACATGAGTTTTACAGTGATAAAATTATGACATCAACAAGGTGGGAGTCCTGGAGGGTGTAGCTGGGAACTGTTTGTACTTCTGTCAAGCTTCTAAAGGCATCTTTATCTCTGGCTTGTGACTTCTTCCTGTATCTTCAATGTCAGTATTGTATCCTCTTCTCATTTCTCCTGCCTCCTCCTGATTCTGCTAACTATTGTTTCCCTTGAGTAATCTAGTATAATCTTCACGCCTTAAGATCTTAATCACATCTTTAAATTTTCTTTTTTTAATTTTCTGTGTCTGTGTGCACACATGTGTATACCTGCTTGCCACTACATGCATGTAGAGATCAGAGAAGTTGGTTCTTTGTTTCCAACTTTACATGGATTCCAGGAATCAAACTCAAGTAACCACGTTTGCCTGGCAAGCATCTTTAACCCACTGAGCTATCTTACCTGTCTCTGATCACATCTTTAAAGACTCTTGCTTTATAAATCAATATTCTCTTAAGATTAAGTTTGTGAACTGGGTAGCGGTAGCACACATCTTTAATCCCAACACTCAGAAGGCAGAAGCAGGTGAATCTCTTGAGTTCGAGGCCAGCCTGGTCTACAGAGCAAGTTCCAGGGCAACCAGGACTACACGGAGAAACCATGCTTCAAAAAACAAAATAAAACAATAAAAGCAACAACAAAAAGATTACATTTGTGAACTTGAATCTTAGGAATCAGGACTTACATACCCAGGGCTGTTCTTCCTTCTGCATGGAGCAAAATAGAATAGATAAGCTGTTGGTCTTTATACTATATAGCATTTACAACAGGAAAGGTGAACGAGCTAGCTACAAGTAATACTTACTCTCATAGATAATGCCAAAGTAAAAATGTTAGCAAAAGCAGCACCTTGCAGAAGAATTGAGAGGAAATGATACTAATGTTATGAACATGGGAATTATTTATGGATGCATTACAAAAAAAATAGATCACAACAGTAAGCTTGATTTTAACCTCTTAGGTAGATGTAATTGAGAAGGAACTTCAAGGATACAGGCAATATTCACATCTACATTTCAAAATTTTGGTGACATAGGTTTTATCTGAGTAGTCTTTAAAAGTTACAGATATGTATTAACAGCAATTTATCCTTCTTACAATGAAAATGGCATGTGTGTGCATACATGCATATGGAGGCTAGAAGTTGACATCAAGTGCCATCAATCTCTCTCTACCTTATATTTTGAGATAGTCTTGATGAAGCTGGAGCTCATCAATTCAGTGAGACTGGCTGACCAGCAAGCCCCAGGGCTCCTCAGTCTTTGCCTCCTAGTGCTGTCTCCCTAGCTTATTATGATATATTGGGGATCTGAATTTAGACGTTTATGCTTGTGTGGCAGGCATTTTGCTGACTGAGCTATCTTTCCAGCCCCTGAAAACATGATGGTTTACAAACCAAAAGTTTTCAGTTCCAAAAAACAAACAAACAAAAAAAAAATAAGAACAGTTACTACATAAAGGGTTTTTTGTTCATTTTCTTTTGGGGGGCAGTCTTTCTTTGTGTAACCCTGGCTGTCCTGGAACTCACTTTGTAGACCAGGCTGGTCTTTTTTTTTTTTTTTAATATTTATTTATTTATTTATTATGTATACAATTTATACGTGTATGCCTGTAGGCCAGAAGAGGGCACCAGACCTCCTTACAGATGGTTGTGAGCCACCATGTGGTTGCTGGGAATTGAACTCAGGACCTTTGGAAGAGCGGGCAGTGCTCTTAACCGCTGAGCCATCTCTCCAGCCCCAGGCTGGTCTTAAACACAGAGATCCACCTTCCTTTTTTTCCCAAGTACTGGGATAGAGTTATATGGGACATTGGTAGTTTGAATAGGTATGGCCCCCATAGACTCAAATCTCTGAATGCTTGGCCCATAGCGAATGGCACTATTAGTAGATGTGTCCTTATTGGAATAGATGTGACCTTGTTGGAGGAAGTGTGTCACTGTGGAGGCAGGCTTTGAGGGCTCATATATGCTCGAGCCACAACCAGTGTGACAATCTCTCCTCCTGCTGCTGCATGATGTAGATCTTTCAGCTCCTTCACTAGCACCATGTCGGCCTGCCTTGATGATAATGGACTAGACCTCTGAAACTGTAAGCCAGCCTCAATTAAATGTTTTTCTTTATAAGAGTTGCTGTGGTCATGGTTGTCTCTTCACAGCAACAAAACCCTTACTGCCACCAGTACCTGGCTTAGAAAAAGTGTTTTAAAAAGCAGACACACACACACACACACACACACACACACACACCCCTACACCCCTACACACCTGTCACTTGAGAACCTAGAAGTTCAGTGAAATTTGGAGTTAGAGGATTCTAGGGTGTTAAGTGCCGAATTTCCAGAGCCCAAATGCTGGACAGCCAGCCCTTGTTCTTCATGTAAAGGTAGCATTGCTGCCTCCATGTGGGAGGGAGTTGAAAGAGACACTTCTACTTTGGGAAAGAAAAAGAACTGGCTAGGTCTTCTACTTCCATTCACTGCTTGTGTGTCTCCTTCCATCCAAAGCCTTCATGAATGGAACTTTTTGTTTTTGATTTTCGAGACAGGGTTTCTCTGTTTAGCTTTGGCACCTGTCCTGGAATTCGCTCTGGAACTCACAGAGATCCACCTGCCACTGCCTCCCTAGTGCTGGGATTAAAGGCGTGTGCCCCCACTGCCTGGCTATGAATAGAACTTTTAATAGACAGAGTCCCGTTCTGGTTTTTACTTAAAACCTTGAACTGAGATGCAAGTTGTTGTGCAGTTGTAGGAAATAATACAGAGAAGTGCTACGTTCCCTTTACCAAGTTATCACAAAGGTAACATCTTGTAAAGATAGACTACAGAGTTAGAAACAGGACCTTGCTATTGATAGAATGATTTGCATTTTCTGGACTCTACATTATTTCTGTGTATTCACATTTTTATTACGTTGCAGTTTCATGCATTCACCCCCACAGTGAAAATATGGATCAGGGTAACCACTTCGGTCATCTATGCTGTTCCTGTCTCCCCTCGTCATTATCATTTCATGTGTGTTTGTGTGCGCACACTTGTGCGTGTGTGTGAATGTATGAAATGTATGGGTGTAGATGTAAACTTCAAGCATCTATCCTGTTCCTAACATCTTTGTGTGTGTGAGTGCTTGTGTGTGTGCACACGTGTGCATGTATGCAATGTGTAGGTGTAGACACTTACTTCAAGCATCTATCCTGTTCTACCATTCTCATTTGTGTTTGTGTGTGTGCATGCATGCACAATCCACATGTAGGTATGGACACATGCGGACATCAGATGACAACTTTTGGGAACTGGCTCTTTTTTTCCACTGTGGGATCCAGGGATTGAACTCCAGTATCAGGCTTTGGGGAGGATTTTTGCCTGCTGAGCCATCTCACTGTCTGTTGCCTTTGTATTACCACACTGTCTTGTTCCCATCCCAGCTCTTATACCCTACCCAGTCCCAGAACCCTGGAGACTAGCACACTTTCCACCATTCCTCACACTTTCCAGAACATTCTGTACATGAAACCATAAAATAACTTTGGGGAAATGCTGTGTTTTACTTAGGTTTCTTCTGGGATTACATATAGAGAATCATTTTTAATAAAATTGAAGAATGGCTTATGGAATTTTTTGGACTCAGAATTTACCTCTTATATACCTGTTTCTCTTTTTGGCTTCATGGGTACTCTGAGTGGTGAGGAAGAACAGACTTTGAAGCCTAATAGATTGGTAGTTAAGTTCCATGGGTATGTAAACAATTGTTGTAAGCTTATTAAACTAATTCCTTACAATGAGGGTCATAATACCTTATTTGCAGGATAGTTTTAAAGAGTCAATGAGATGACACACTAAAGCTCTTACCATCATGCCTAGCACATAAACGGCAGCCAAAAAGAAAGATGCAGGTGGTCTCAGCAGTGGCATTACAGGCTGTGACTTCTAGGTTAGTCTGGAATCCAGTGGCTACTTGCATTTTTATTGGTGGTTAGGCAGAGGAAAGGCAGAGAAGTATCTCCTGTTTTGAGCCCTGAAAGGTTGGGTATTTCAAAGTAGATAATTTGTAATTTTCTTGGTTTTGTTGTTTTGTTTTTTATATTCAACTGTCATAGTTAAAAAGTAACTGCTTTAATGTTATGAATCTTAAAAGTATTTTTTACAGCTAGTTATTTCGTGTATTGTTGGTGCTGAGTATACATGAGGCATGGCATGCATACAGAAGTCAGAGGAGAGTTTCAGGAGTCCATTCCCACCTTCCACCATATGGAGGGAGATTGAATTTAAGTCGTCAGACTTGGCAGCAAGCACTTTTACCCTCTAGACCCTTCTATTGGCCCTAATGTTATGAACTTTAATCAGTAAAACTGGTCAACTTGAATGAATAAATTTTTTAGAATAATAGATTTATTAAGGTATAAACATTAGTAATTTGTCTATCTTGTAGTTGATACGTTTGTACATTCTAGGTGACTGGAGTTCTGGATGATTGCTTGTGTGACATTGACAGCATTGATAACTTCAACACCTACAAAATCTTCCCCAAGTTAAAAAAGTTACAAGAGCGAGACTATTTTCGTTATTACAAGGTAAGATGGAAATTTTTAATTCTGTTAATCCAAAGATTTCTATGTAGTTGTCTGCAAATGTGACTGTTTTATTATGTTTTTCAAAATAAATCTTTTAAAAATGAAATTTTATAAAAGCATCATAGTGGAAAAATGATTTTATTACATACCAAGAATCTGCACCCCCTTCACTTTTCTTTCAGTTTTGATTTTGAGATGGAAGACTCCTCCTTTACAGATGCTTCAAATGCCCACATGGACTTCGTCAGCCTCTGTGAGCATAGGTTCTGTGATCTGGACCGAACTATCCAGGCTTCATTGTATGAATTTTTCACTCTTTTGGCTTTTTTTGGGGGGCCCACCATCCAGCTCCTAAATAAATAACACACAGAGGCTTATTCTTAGTTATGAATGCCCGACCTTAGTTCGGTTTGTTTCTTGCCAGCTTTTCTTAACTTAAATTAACTTTTTGCCTCTGGGCTTTTATATTTCTTAATTCTGTATACTCTCTTTACTTCTTTCTCTGTTTGCTGGGTAGCTGGCCCCTGATGTTCTCCTCTCCTTGTTCTCTTGCTCTTCTCTTCACTCCTCTGTTTATACTCTCGGCCTGCCAGCCCTGCCTATCCTTGCTACTACCTCACTATGGCCGGTCAGCTCTTTATTAGGACCTTGGCGTTTTAGACAGGCACAGTAACACAGCTTCACAGAGTTAAACAGATGCAGTGTAAACAAAAGTCACACGCCTGAAAATAATATTCCCCAACAAGGCTTCAGTGGGGCATCGTGTTTGTGTAAGGGGAGTGTCGTAAGCAGTGCAGAGTAACAGACTCTCACTGGCATGCTTTGTGGAGGCTGCAAACCAAGAGATGTTACAAGGAGGATACACCCTCATCGTATTTCTGTAGAATCTGTTTTTAACCTAGTATGAGTCTCTAGCCCTTCTGGAAATACCAGAAAAGCAATAGCAGTCTCCTAACTATGTCAGCAATCAGAACTCAAAGAAACAATTGTAGTTATACATTTTTAAGGAGAAAATACCAAGGGTGTAGTCTAGGGAATTAAAAACAATTATTAGTGTATATTCATTGTACAAAGCAGTGGGCTTCTTGATGGCCTTTTGGTTCAAGTACAGCACGTCCTTTGACCATATGCACTCCCCTTTTCCTCTAGTCCCTGTCCTCTGTGTGCGCTCACAGAATCTACTTGACAAATATATATTTCTGGCACTCACTCTGTAGACCAGGCTGGCCTCAAACTCACAGAGATCCACCTGCCTCTGTCTCCCAAATGCTAGGATTAAAGGCATGCACTACCACCGGCCAGTTGCAACTGCATTTTAAAGCTATGCCTGACTTTACTGTGGTCTTCTTGTTCTCAGAATTTAGTTGGTATATAATTTTCATTTTAATTTGTTCTAAAATTTAAACATGGTTTCCTTTTTATTTTGATTCTGAATATATTATCTTAGCTCTTTAAATATTTTTGAGGATAAAAAATGTAGTCTTTTGGCAGTTGTAGGTTGTGTTCAAAAGATAAATTAGAAAGTTACAGATTTGGAAACCCATTCCTTTGCCCACAAATACCAAGAATATCCAGAAAGGAGTGAATGTTTCTCCTTTGCACTCCTAACAGAGTTTGTACAGTTGGTGAATCTATGCCTACACTGTGGCTGATCTTTAGGCATTTTTCATACAAATAAGACAGGTGCTTTCTGAACATGAAATCCCTGACAGTATGTGTAGCTGCTTCCTTCATAATATTAGAAAAATCATATGAAATGGTTAAGCATACCGGTTTCATACGGTTCAGTCTAGTAAGTAGAAATTGTGGGTGCTGTCAGAGACCGCCTTTGTTTGGGTGTCACAGCCGCACTCACACCTCCCTTTGGGGATCGCATCTTCTAGTTTTGTATCCATACAAAGCCTGGCCCATTGAGGAATTGAGGATTTGGATGAATGGCTATCTCGTTTACTCTTCATATGAAAATTTTATTATCCACATTTTTAAAATGAAGAAATAATAGGCCCGAGTATCCTAAGTAGGGCACTCGTGTTGACTAAAAAATAGAAGTTTGAGAGAGAAAATAAGTAGTTTACAAATTGAAAGACAAACTGAAGTAGTGCACTTCAGGGAAGCTGAAAGTGGAGCAGACTCTAGTGGCATTATCGTTAGGACACCACCAGAACTGTGGTGGTTCTAGGGTTCTGGCCACTAGACATTCAGGCAGGCACTGTTCCACTGAGCTGTACCATCAGCCCTGCACCAAACTTCCAGGCCACATTAACTGTTTTCCCGTATTTTTTGTTCTTTATACAAGAGTCAAATTTCTGGAGGAGAAAATGATTAGTCCAGGTTGTCATGTGATACCTTTACCAAAAGAAGAAAGTATACTTCGGGTAACAGTGCCATTCAGAGACACGAGGAATGATTGTTTGTCGAGGGAATTATAAGACTGCTACAGAAGAAGAGAAAATGAAAGTTAAGTAAGCAAAAATATCAGAGTTGGTTTCAACACGTGTGCAGACTTGGGATTCAGCCAACAAGGAGGTAGATGGAGCCGCTCACCTTTTCAGCTAGGCAATTGTCATATTGATGGCTTTGTGACAGACAGCCTCTAGTCTTAGCACTGTGGGTACAGCAGTGAATAGGGCAAAGCTTTGTTCTGCTTGGAGAGACAAACAATAAGTAAATAGACAGTAATGTCAGATGTAAGGTGAGTGCTGTGGAGAAGCAGGGGAGGGTAAGGGATATAGAGATAAGTAGCCTTGCTTTGATGAAATGGTCAGGAAAGGATGGCATTTATGCTAATGTGATATTTGAGAAAGACCTTCCTAATGTGAAAGTGTGAGTAGTGGTGAGATCTGCGGAAAACATCCCAAGGAAATTAATGAGTAGATGTAAGAGTTCTGACACAGGAGTAAGCTTAGTTTATTTGAAGAATTAGACCACAGAAGCAGGTGAATGAGGAGTAGGATTGGAGAGATAGGTAGGTCAGCTTTAAAAACATGAGCATGTACACATGGCACATACACAAACACATATACAAACACACAGAAACCATACAGCAATATATTGGGGGTGGTTGCATTCTAAGTACTACTTTAGAGGGTCTAGTCAAGGCCTGCTGCTGTTGAGAGACCTGAATAAGGTGGAGAAAAAGCCCCCTGTAGGAGCAAAGCAGATAGAGAATGGGCAGTATAGAGGCGCTGGGACTCCAGGAACCCAGCATGTCAAGCAGAAATGTAGTGTAATAGATGAGGGAAGGAGAGGCAGATGCCAGTGGTTACAGAGTAGGGCTTGTAGAGCTGCTGCAGGCTTGGATTTGCTCCAAGGGAGATGAAGTTCTGAGCAGACACTGGTAGGGACTGCCTTGGTTTTGATGTAACTGTTGCTATGTGCAGAAGGTGGAAAACTATTGTGGTAACTTAGGCAAGAGGCAAATGAAGGTGATAAAAAGTAGTAACAAGTAAGAGAGGAAACAGACAACGTTGATTTTTAGCTTGGGCAATAACATCTGCAAGTCCTGTTGGATTACCAGCTTCCTGTTGTATGAAGAATTTGGAAATCGGTATTTACCTTTTGACCTCCGTCCTTTTGGTCCATTCTTTACCCACTAAAAATGGTGGAAGTGGTGGTTCTTCATTCTTAGCACCACAAAGCTCTCCACTGCTGTAGCCAAATACACAAGCCCACCACCTTTCATCTTCCTAACGTACGACTGCTTCAGAGGCTCCGTCCATCAGCAGCACTATTACAGAACTCTGGGTTCTCCTTTGAAACATGTACTACAATGTGCGATTATTTGATTTCTCTTTTCTTCAGGATATTGTAAGTCCTAGGGAGAGAAAGCTCTCTTTTGCCTTGAGCCTAACCTGGTGTCTGACAGATAGCCAGTGTTCAGTACACACTGACTAAGGGGGTGTGGGAACCCCGATGCTAAGGTGACCGCAGGTATTTGGGGAATGTTAAGGTCATTCTAAAAGGCTGCCCAGTGACAACTGTACTTCAGATGAGCAGTGAATTCGAGCTGCCTGCTCCTCTGCTCCAGTGTCAGAGAACCCATAATCGTTTTGTTTTAAAAGTTAACATGCCACCCAGGTGCCTGCAAAGCTGCAGTCATTTAATATGTGAGCTGTGTATGCGCCACAGGGTCAAGAAGCTCCTCTCTCCTCATCGCTACCATGTCACCATAGTGACACTGGCAAACATTCTGTAATTATCATACCCAATTGCTAATGTTGATTTGTTTTTCCTCGAAAGGTTAATCTGAAGCGACCATGTCCTTTCTGGGCAGAAGATGGCCACTGCTCAATAAAAGATTGTCATGTGGAGCCCTGTCCAGAGGTACAGTAATTAAGAGTATAATAATGAAGGGGGACTTCCTCATGGGCTTTAAAAATATCACAACCCTGTATCCTTGTGTTTGGACTTACCGGCAGACTTCATAGGCTTTCAGCTCGTATGACTAGACTCCTTGAAAGATGAGTTGAGGGATTCTTGTGTCCAGTGGTGTTGGTGACGGTGTGTGGACGTAAGTCTTGATTCTAAAATGGGAGGGAGACCTAAGGATTTCTAGCATTAGACCTGCAGTGGGCTTCATTGATCTTGTTTCATAGGCAAAAAGAGAAGTTCAGGACCTTAAATGTCACATTTAAAATGGGGATTTCAGTGCATGAAGTGAGAAAGTCTAGCCTAGAGTAAAGTTTCATTGCTTTTTTTTTATATTTATTTATTATGTATACAATATTCTGTCTGTGTGTGTGTCTGAAGGCCAGAAGAGGGCACCAAACCTTATAACAGATGGTTGTGAGCCACCATGTGGTTGCTGGGAATTGAACTCATGACCTTTGGAAGAGCAGGTAATGCTCTTAACCACTAAGCCATCTCTCCAGCCCCCCATTGCTTTTTTTTTTTCAACCTTTAAAACTATGTTTACTACCATATAAATAAAACATAAACATTATCTTTCCTACCAAGATAATGTTACATTTTAGGGGTATGTGGGTGGGGTTTGTCTGAGACACACACACAGGAACCTACATTCTCACACATACTAGGCAGGTACCACTGAGATACACCCCAAGTTCTGATACTTCAGTTTTGACATATAACATAATTAACTTAAAATGATTCTCCCTCAATAACAATTAGTTTTAAGCTATAATTTAAATTTTCAGTTCTTTTCTTACCAAATCAGGCTAGTTTGTGGGCATTGAAAATAGTTTTTTGAAAGAGCGTGTGGACCACTGTCATCGTAAATGGAAGATTCTTGCAAAATTATCTTCTTTTTCAACAAGATAAGATGTTCATGGAAAGTGATCTTAGACGTGCAAGAAAGATCTAAGATCTTTATCCAGATCCCCTGGATGCACATGGTCCCTTGTTTGCTGTACTCCCTGAACCGTCTGAGCATGCTGCAGACTGGTCCTTTATGTTTGGATGCTCTAAATACTGCTGTATTCCTTAGAAGCAAGACTTTTTTGTATATAACGTTAGCAGAATGAACTAAATCAGGATATTGATACCATTCTGAGCCTCATTCGTCACATATCATTAGCTGACCACATGCTTGTGCTTTGTAGCTTGTCCATCCAGTCAGGTTTAAGTACTGCATTTTGTTGTCCCGTGTCTTCAGTTTCATTTTCTCCGGAACAGGAGCACGTCTCCTTAGCGCGGTAGGCAGCGCATCAGTCTCATAATCTGAAGGTCCTGAGTTCTCTGCAACAGGAGCCAGGTTGTTTTGTTTTGTTTTCATTTGGTGCTAGTGCTGAGATCAGAACCCAGGGCCTGTACAGGCTAAACAAGCACCTTGCCACAGAGCTACACACCCAGGCCTGCATAATTTGGCTTTGTTTTTGTTTGAGTTAGGATCTCGTTATATAGCCCAAGTTGGCCTGGGAGTCGATATGTTCCTGCTCAGCCTGTGTCATACAGCTAGACCTGACTAATTTGACTTTGATATTCTGTATTTGTGTGTCTGTGTGTCTGTATCTATCTGTGTGTGCATTTGAATTTTTGAAGGTAGGTTCTTGCCCTATAGCCTAGACTGGCCTTGAATTCATGGCAGTCTTTCTTCCTCAGTTTACTGAGTTTTGGGATCACAAGTATGAACCACAGTGCTGGCTGGCTCATAATAGGTTTCTAAGTTGAGTGTTTAATTTGTAAATTCAAATGATCAGGTACTTTCCATCTGTAGTGCATTATAACCTCATCTGTGTTACATTTCTAATCAGAAATGTAAATGAAGTTTTTATTTAAAAACTCAACAGAGGCTGGAGAGATGTTTAGGGGGTTAAGAGCATTTGCTGCTCTTACCCAGATCCTGGCTTTAGTTACCAGCTCTCACATGGTAGCTCAGAGCTATCCATGACCACAGTTCCAGGGGATCAGTGTCTGTCCTCTCTGGCTGCCATGGACAGTAGGCATGCATATGGTGTTCATGCATCTACGCTGCAAAACACTCAAACACATAAAGTATAATTTTTTAAATAGAGAAGTCAAACATAGGAAACAAAGTAGATCAGTTTCTTTTTGTTCCCCTTCTTTCCCTCCATAGCAGCCATTCCTTCTGATTGTCTTCTAAGTAATGTTACTATTTTTCTTTTAAGAGTAAAATTCCAGTTGGAATTAAAGCTGGGCGTTCAAATAAGGTAAGTTACTTTTCTTCCTTGAAAATTTCTGGATACTGGGGGCAGTAGAGAGCCATGAATTTAGCTGAGAATGGAGCCACTTGGCCTCAGAATTCAAATTATTAACTCTTGAATCAAGTGCTGGGGCCATGCATGCCTAGCTTCTTTTGAAATTACATCTGTTTGCAGAATCTCTAGATAGAAAAACTCTAAACTGTAACTGCAGCAAAAATACTAGTAGCTATTTTTGGTCTTCTGTTTCAGTTAGTGTCTGTTAGATTCAGATTACATTGTATAAAGAAAATTATTGCCAAGATATTTTGAGCCAAGTACTTGGAAATGATGTTAAGGTATTCTTTGTGCTTTTTAAAAATGAATCGTGATATTTTATTTGTGCTTTAACAAATAAAGTTTGCCTACATATCAGAGTGCAGAGCTGGCCAAACTAGTTAGCCATAGAGGCCAGGCAGTGGTGGCACACATGTTCAATCCCAGCTCTCAGGAGACAGTCAGATGGATCTCTGTGAGTTCAAAGCTACCCTGGACTACACGAGATTGAATCAGTCTAAAAGAGACATAGAGCCAAGTGGTGGTGACTTACACCTTTAATCCCAGCACTAAGGAGGTGGAGATGGGAAGTGATATGGCTGGGTGGAGAACGGAACGAATATAAGGCAGGAGGAGACAGGCGATTTCGTAGAGACAGCATTCAGTCTGAGGACTTGCAGAAACAGGATACCCCATTCTGTCTGATGATTTTGTAGAGGTAAGAACTAGTAGCTGGCTGCTCTGCTTCTCTGATATTCAGCTTTCACCCCCTAATATCTGACTCTGGGTTTTTATTATTAAGGCCAATTAGAATTGGTGCTACAGTGAGTAAGCTGTGTTCTTAGCTGGCAGTTAACTCTTATTTTCCACTACTGCACACACATGCACGAAGAAGATCTTCCACTCTCTCTCTCTGCCTTGTGTGCTGTCTTCTTGTTCTACCCATCTCTTCCATGCATTGTTGTTGTTTATTTGCTCATCTTTACTTTGGCTGCAAAGCTATACTAAACAAAGCATAGCAAGGTAGTCCAGCCCACCCCCTGTTCCTAACACCATTCTAATCCCATTTACTTCCTCCTCCCCAGAGCCATCCATTTCCTGAAGTTACGTATGTGGTTCTACTCTTACTACATACGTATCTGTCTATAAGTAACACACTTTCAGAGCATGTGCCTGCAGTACAATAATATACAGATTATTTTGTGAGAAGTTAAAATTTTTAGTAATGAATTTCTTCAAGTTGGAAATACTTTTCAGTTTACATTTTGGCTCATTATTTTTGCTCCTAAACCTCTCTCTGTTGACACACTGGATCTTGTGTGTTCACCCTCACAGCAGTGTGCTAGTCATTTGTGTGACTTAACAGTAGCCTCCCTGCACGTGGACATTTCAGTCATTCAGGTTCTTTCCTGTTGCAGTGAAGCACTGGCATTTTTGCCCCCGACTTCATTGTGAGCACATGATAGTTTCCCTAGTCCTGTAAAGAGAAGTGAGATGGAGGCAGGCGGATCTCTGTGAGTTCGAGACCAGCCTGGTCTACAGAGTTAGTTCCAGGACAGGCTCCAAAACCACAGAGAAACCCTGTCTCGAAAAACCAAAAAAAAAGAGAGAAGTGAGATGCTGGACAGTAAGGTCTGTGTATCTCAGCATTTTAAAATGATACAAACACTAAGATGATTATAATATAAAAAAATGTTTCCTTGGGATATGGCCTAAGTTGAAGACTCCGCTCTAAGGACTTACGTGTCTGTAAAACTCTAGATACATATTTATCCAGTCTCTTTCCCAGATGACATCATCACCAGCACATGCTTGCTAACTGTTGTGGCTTTTTCTGCCTTTGCTCACTTAATACGTACAGATTCAGGCCTTGTAAAAATCCGCAGTAAGGATTTTCACAATAGAACACGTCACCATTAATAGAGTCTGCTAAAGAAGAGCTAATCACTCTCACTTAACTTTGTATGAATTCTCTTGTAGTATTCACAGGCAGCAAACAATACCAAGGAACTGGAAGACTGTGAGCAGGCCAACAAGCTGGGCGCCATCAATAGTACATTAAGGCAAGTTTAATTGTACTTAGTTTGTTAATAGCATTGACTTTTTTTTTCCCCAAGGCATGGTTTCCCTGTGTAGCTCTGGCCGCACTGTAACTCACTTTGTAGAACAAATTGGCCTCGAACTTAGAGCTCTGTCTGCCTCTGCCTCCTAAGTGCTGTGATTAAAGGTGTGCACCACCACAGCCCAAGTCATGATTTTAATATTTGGGGGTTCTATAAATATAGAATAACTTGAATTTAAAGAATTCAGAAAATAAGCTGATCTTCTGTTTTAGAAAAAAATAACATTACTGCAGTTTGTATGTCAGTTTTGGTGGTGACCTTGAGTGCTAACAAGGGCTAATAATCATTTCAAAGTAGTTAGGAAGTATAAACAACTCATCGAAATTGATAACTCTGTTTTTCACATGACTTTTTTTATCATTCCTTCATTTACTACTGCTAGACTTTGTGGCATCTTCTCAAGAAATGGTCTCTATTTTTGTTCATTAGAATACAATGTTAATATCTCAGCTCCAAATATAATTTTTTTATTCCTCCTTCCCATAGTAATGAAAGCAAAGAAGCATTCATTGACTGGGCAAGATATGACGACTCACAGGATCACTTTTGTGAACTTGATGGTAATAAAATAAGTTTCATCTTCACTTTAACCTGAAGCCTTTTCTGAGACACTTAAACTGTTGAAAATATGACCTAAATTAGTGTTTAACACTGGATCTCTCTCTGTGGAAACCTTACCATTGATACTGGCATTAATTGGGAGAGTTATGTTTGAGGCCCAGTGCTAAGTGCTATAGATATGTTATTTCTTTCTGATCTTTATAGTTTCCTTAGTAGATTGTATACTATTCCATGGCTGAGAAACTTTAGCCTCAAAAAGCAAATAAATTGCCCAAGATCATATAATAGCAAGTGGCTGAGACATGATACAGTTCTAGATCTGAGTCCCAAACCTGTATGAACATTCCAGCATGCCATATCCCATGGGCCTTCTCATCAGATCACTTGGTTCTATAAACAGGCCATAAAAATTTGGTGGAGGTCTCAATAAACCATAACGATTCCTGCAGTACTAGGGAGGACTCTGACTTGACTTCCTTGTAGCCCTCTCTTTCCAAGCATCCCTTAGAAGGGCACATGGGCAGAATCAGTCAGACAAGTAACTACTGCCTCTCTTAGCAAAAGAAAATTACAGAAACACAAATTGCCTGAGAATATTTGCACTGTGCTGTGCATTCAAGTCATTCATTTGGCCTCTCTTTGGTTTTTAGTGCAGAGTTAACTTGTGGGAAATAGGAAAGAACATGAAGCTCGACTACATGGAAATGGACAGCAGAAACTTCCTAAGTCCTTTAGGGATCTAAGGTGGTCATTGCTGCTTTGTAATAACTGAAGAGGATTCCTAGACTGTCTTAGTTTTCTATTGCTGTGGTTTAAAAAACAAAACAAAACAAAAGTCTACCAAGGCAGCTTATACAAGATAACATTTTAAAAAAGCACTTAATTGGACTTAACAGTTTCAGAGGGCTAGAGCCCATGGTGGTAAGTAAAGGCATGGTGGCAGGAATAGCTGAGAGCTTCCATCTTGATCCTCAAGCACAAGGCAGGGAGAGGGAATACCAGGAATGGCTGGAGTCTCCTGAAACTTCAGAGCCCACCCGTGACCCAGTTCCTCCCACGAGGACTGGTGCTGTAGCAGAGTCAAGATGAGGACTGAGGCGAAAGTGTTGCCATGATAATCTAGATGTAACACTACAGAAGCAGACAGCGTCCTCATTGTGATGGGTGGAACTGATGGGTTGCCAGAGCCACCTTCTGTTGCTGTTCTTTTGTTTGCTCTGGTTGACACTCAGGTATGCTGAGTGCTTAACACTAGAGGCATTTCTTGGGCCACAGCTCATGTCTGTGATCCTTGTGCTTGAGATACAGAGGAGGGAGGATCAGAAATTCACAGTCGTTCTTGGCTGCATAGAAGTCAAGTCTATCCTGGTTATGTTAGACCTCATCTTAAAAAGATGAGCCAACTAAACAAAACCCACTATAATTTTTACATTAAAAGATTAAGCATGATTATTTTAGAGATTTTCGTATTCTGTGACTGTATATTACACTAAAAGGAGGCATTTCATTAAATTCTACTCAGAGTTAGAGAGATGGCTCCAGTATTTAGCCATATAGAGCTTAGTGCTAGGATCTGAGTTTGAATCTCCAGCACTCACATGAGGTAGGGCATGGTGAACATTAAGAACCTTATCTCAAGATAGAGGCAGAACAGGCAGCCAAGGTTACCCTCCGATGTCTACGTGGTTAGCATGGTCAAACAGAAAAGATAGCTGTTGGATAGCTTACCAACCCCCTTATTAGCATAAGTTAACAAATACTACCCATTCCATGATTTTAAAAAGAATTAAAAGATTTTTAAAATGAAGGAAAACCAAGAACAAAAGTTTTATTTAAGGAGTTTTTTTAAGCTGATGTAATTTGATTATACACCTTTTTAAAAGTTTCCTTAAAACACTTTATTAGATGATTTTTTTTGTGTGTGTGTATGTGTGTGTGTTATACATGCTAGACAAGTATGCATTCACTGAGCTACATTGCTGACCCACTAAAATATACTGTAAATCGTCATGGTTTGCTGTCAGAATCTTCTCCCTTTATAGTAGAGTGGGTTTTCTGTGGTGTGGAGATTGGTGTTAGTGTCGCCCACACGTTCATAGCAGACCCTGAACATGTTTAGTTTCACATGTATACACTCAGAGTATGTATGTGTGCACACATGTTTATATCAGAGATTACATTAATGACCTTCAGTGGTATTTAAGAAGTTTTATATATAACTAATCTGTTTTACAGATGAGTTTTTTTTTGGGTTTTTTTTTTTTTTTTTTTTTTTTTTGGTTTTTTTTTTNGGTTTTTCGAGACAGGGTTTCTCTGTGGCTTTGGAGCCTGTCCTGGAACTAGCTCTGTAGACCAGGCTGGTCTCGAACTCACAGAGATCCGTCTGCCTCTGCCTCCCGAGTGCTGGGATTAAAGGCATGCGCCACCATCGCCCGGCTTACAGATGAGTTTAAAAAACTGCTAAAAGAAATTAAAAATACATAACTGGGGCTGGAGACGTGACTCAGCAGTTAAGAGCACTGGCTGCTCTTCCTGAGTTTCCAATTCCCAGCACTCATGTGGCAGCTCACAACTATCTGTAGCTTCTGCTACAAGGTATCTGACACCCCCTTTTGGCTTTTGTGGGAACTGCACATGTGTGGTGCACAAACATACATGCAGGCAAAAATACCCATATACAAAGATTTAGAAATAAAAGATACAGAAGTTAGAAATAAGTGAGGCAGGCCATTCTGTTCCTGCCCTGGCCCTGCTCCCTTGAAATATACCCAGTAAACCTGTCTTTTGTTGTACTCTTGGAAAAAAGTAGAAATTAAATAATAAATTTTAGCAATTCTTATTTAATTACAAAAAGGGGGGAAAAACATACTTTTTTCCTCTTAAGGTTTGTGTTTGTTTTGCAGGTATTAAAATCCACAACTTCACCAGTTCCTGTACCAATTAGCTACTTCCTGCATTCTTATACCTGAAAAGAAATGCTTTTTAAGACCTCATGACTTGAGGTTTTATTTTTTATTAGGATTTTTTAAATTAATGACATCAATTCAAATTAAATTGCCTGTGAGTTTTTAATATCTAATTGTAACTTGTTTCTTGTGCCTAATTTGTGTAGTGCAATATCTTTGGGATTAGGGTTAGAGATAAAATCTTGCATGTTTCCATTACCTGTTTTATTCTGTTCATTTATAGTAACAATTTGTTGTTACCTTTCTATTCCTCCTCCATTGTGATAGCAGGTAGTCTTCAAATGGGCTGTGTTAGGTTGCCAGCTTCCCCTGTGATTATGGGAATCAAAGTCATTGAATAGCTAATGGATCTTGTTCAGTGACAGAAAAATACAATGTCAGGTAGGAAAGGAAGAGGAAGTTTAATGACCAGATCATTCATTCTATAGAGAATAATGGGAAAATCTTTGTGATAGAAGATGTAACAAAATGTTTCCTAGTCTTTGTTGAGATAGGTAATTATAGAAAGAAAAGAAATCACATAAATCTGATGCTGTTATTTCTTTTTATTCCTGGGTGGTTATAACTAAGGTAGAGAATGTTGCATTTCTTGAGTGAACTTTGAGATGCCAAAGAAAAGGAAGAAGTTGTTCTTTCCTCTCTTGAGTAACTTGTCCAAGTTGTACAAATTCAGGGTCAAGTGCGGTCACGGGGGTTAACCACGCAGCAGTGTGAGCTGGAAGTGACATGTAGGTGAGTAGTGACACTGAGCTGTCTTCCTGTTGTTCCCGGCAGATGAGCGCTCCCCTGCTGCGCAGTACGTGGACCTGCTGCTGAACCCAGAGCGGTACACTGGCTACAAGGGCTCCTCGGCATGGAGGGTGTGGAACAGCATCTACGAGGAGAACTGCTTCAAGTAACGGAGGGCGGGGAGGGAGGAGCAGGTGTCTGTCTCTGTGGGGAACTGGGATGTGTAACAAAGTGACGGAGGGCGGGGAGGGAGGAGCAGGTGTCTGCTTCTGTGGGGAACCGTTTTACAGCTGCACCTTCTGCTCTTTCCCAGGCCTCGGTCTGTGTATCGTCCTTTAAATCCTCTGGCACCCAGCCGAGGTGGGTTTTCCATACATTTCATACTTTTTCAAATTGAAAAAGAGTAAACCAGCAATTTTATGTTTTAATTTTAGTGATTAAGACAAGCATGAGTTAATAGACTAGATGTCTTCTGGTCTTTAGCTAGGAGCCTGGTTGTAGGATGGATTAGAAGATGTGAGGAATCTATATGAATCTCAGATTTCCTGAGAAATTTCAACTTTGGAGGCTCAGGTCCTGCCCCACAGTAGTAAATTAAGAAAAGAGAGAATGAGGGCCTTGTCCCCTGTCCCCATTTTATTTTTATTTTATTTTTGATTTTTTTTTTTAAGACCAGGTTTCTCTGTGTAGATTTGGAACCCGTCCTGGAATTAGTGCTTGTAGAACAGGCTGGCCTCGAACTCACAGAGATCTGCCTGCCTCTGCCTCCCGAGTGTTGGGATTAAAGGCATGCGCCACCACTGCCTAGCCCCTGGCCCCCATTTTTAAACACTCTAGTTCAGTGGTTCTTAACCTTTAGTTCCTCATGTTGTGGTGACCCCTCCCCAACCTCCATGTTTGAGTAGAACTTAATCCACATCACATGCTACTGAGGTTGTAGTACCAGACAAACCTACTGTAAAAACATAGCTATTTAAGGTACATGTATGTATAGCTAATGTGCTGTTCAGGTGTAGCATGCTATGGTCAGTGGGGACATCTTCATCCTCTTATCTAGGCGCAGCTAATCCCTGGGATTGACCCTGTAGCTGACCTACTATTCCAGAGTCTAGGCCAGGACTGAGTTAAAAGTTGAAATGCCTAAGTAGATTTATATCTTGGGCCCGAGACCTGAGTAGATGTGGAGTGGTTGACATAAGCACTGCTCTTAGATGCTGACTCTGTCAAGGCAAATGCTGTTCTCCAAGCTCCTTCTGAAACGGACTGGCAAAAGTTGGGACTATGAGCAGAGTGGCCATGACTTATTTTTTGTCTCTTGCTGTTTATGTCATAACTTTTATGTTTTCAACTTCAATGTCTTAATTACACAAAATGTTTTAAAAATTGACACCGCGGAAGCTGTATAAAGGACAAAGGGCCATCCCTCCTTCAGACCTTTTCTGTGGTGACTGTTTCAAAGTAGAAAATACAATTGTTTAACAAAATATGTCAAATCCAAAGAAACACTTACCATTTACCGTAAACTAGACTAGAAACTGCTACAAAGATGAGGAGAGTAAAAAATCAACAATGCCAGTAGGGAAGGAGGAAAAGAAAAAATAGGAGACCATTAAAGACAAGTGGAAGCAGAGGGTGTGGAAGCTCCTGCTGACAGGTGGGGCTAGAAGGGCTCTGCCTGCTCAGCATTTCTTCCACTGTGTTCCTGAAGTAGTGCCAGCTCTAGGCTTCTTTTTCTTTCCTTCCTTCTTCCTTCTTCCTTCCTTCCTTCCTTCCTTCCTTTTTTTTTTTTTTTATGGTTTTTAGAGACAAGGTTTCTCTGGAGCCTGGAACTAGCTCTTGTAGACCAGGCTGGCCTTGAACTCAGAGATCCACCTGCCTCTGCCTCCCAGGTACTGGGATTAAAGGCGTGTGCCACCACCACCCGGCAGCTCTAGGCTTCTATAACTATTTTTCCAAAAGTCTTTGAGAAACAGAACCTTTTTCTGAAAAATAAACTGTTCTACCAGAATCTGTCAGGCAAAGGCACAAAGGTGAGCAGCATGGAGCCAGCTCAGCTTTTGGGCCTTTCCCACTGCAGGAGAGTGTGGTTGACCCTGTCTGAGCAAAAGAGTCCCAAGCGTGGAAACTGAAGGATGTCTGTGTATTGATAAGCACTGAGCCTAGCTGCCTCTGCCCACTTCAGTTGCTTCCTGATCTTTTAATGTGCTGGAGATGGAAACCAGGGCTTCACGCACACTCACAGCTGCATCCCCAGCTCCCCAGAGTTTGACTGAGCCACCACCCCAGACTAGAACTCACCTTAGAGCCCAGGCCTTGGCCTCAGTGGTGCGGCCCTGCCTCAGCCTCCCAAGTGTCTGGGATTGTGCAGTGTCACCAGGCCCAGCTCCTTCTCCCTTGTCAGTTTCTTCCTGTCTCCTCCTCCCTCCTCCTGTTTGTTTTATAGAATGTGGGAATCTTGCCCTCTTTGGCCTGCAGACAAGGCTCATATTTGCAGGATGCCTGCAGTAGTGATCAGAGTTCATGGTCCAGTGAAAAGTTTAGCAGGGAGGATAAGCTGTGTGTTAACATTAGTGGGACTGAATCTGGGCAGGGTAAGGCACTTTGTAATGTCCTTTCTCTTTTCTCCTCTAGGGGAAGATGATGGTGAGTTGAAACTCGTGTTTACTTCAACCATGGAAGGAACCTTTTTACTATTAACTTTTGGTGTTTTTCTTCTTTTCACCAAATGCAGGTGGCTTAGCCTATTTTTTTTTTTTCAGAAATGAATGGTGACCAAAAATGAGATTTTTTTTAAATAATGAAGTTGTCTTAATGTTTAAAAAAGAAAAAAGCTTAGAGACCATTTTACCATTTTACTTAAATGTTTAGTATAGAAAGTAAGTCCACTTCCCCATTTTCTGTTAACAAAATTTTGAAGGTTGGTGGTAAAGATGTTTTCTGCCAAGCTTGATGTCCTGAGTCCATCCCCAGGACCCACACGATGGTGGAAGAGAGCAGATCCCTTTAGCTGTCCAGGGACTTCCACACAGCTGTGGCACTCAGGACCCCGCCTCCCACCCATGTACACTATGAATAATTTGTTTAATCTACGTGAAGATTCTGAGGGAATGTAGCAAAGTTATTTTTACCAGATAATTTGTGACTTCTTTATTTACTTACTGACTTTGAAAGTTACATTCTCAGTTTTCAATGTAGTGCTTAATCTCATAAACACTAATTACTAGCATTTGGCTGCAAAACAGCCAGAAAATTATTTCAGTTGCTGTCTCCTTACCTGTGTTCAGTAGCATTGTGCAGACTGGGAGGATGTATAAAATGCACGCCTTCCCTCTGTGAGCCAAGGATGCACAGAGGAAAGCAAATGCAGTGCACAACCAGCACAGCATCATACGGAAACTGACACAGACCCCAGCAGGTGTGACTCAGTAAGTACACACCGACACAGCAACATGCGGAAACTCAGACACAGACCCCAGCAGGTGTGACTCAGTAAGTACACACCGACACAGCAACATGCGGAAACTCAGACACAGACCCCAGCAGGTGTGACTCAGTAAGTACACACTGACACAGCAACATGCGGAAACTCAGACACAGACCCCAGCAGGTGTGACTCAGTAAGGGTGCAACGGAGCACCTTATGTATGATGGGACATGATGAGAAAAGCTTCCTGGAGAAATGGCCTGTGAGGTGAATGCTGAAGTACAGGAGCAGGTGTAGAGCAGTAGAACTAGCTAGTGCAGGCTTGTTGGAGGAAATGCATGAACCCGAGAGCTGAGTAGTAAGTGCAAAGACTGAAGTCGTTAAAGGATGGGTTAAGAGGCCTCATCATCAATGGGAGTAGCAGTGGAGGTAAGGAAGTGGGATGGTAACAGCCCTTAGCAAGGGGAGGAGGAGGAGGTACTACAAAGGCTGTCAGCTGTTTTGTGGTGGAATGGGGAGCACTCAGGAGGCAGAGGAGCTCCCTGAAACTGGGCAAGGTTTTCTGTCATTCTCTCAGAAGTACAGCAGCACTTCCCTTTCTTTTTCCCTTCCTAACTCGGGAGAGCATTATTGAGCCAGAAGCTTCTGTCTTTTAATGACAAAATTTTGTACATTTATCAGCAGTGTTTTGGAGCATGTGTCATAGGGAATAGCTAAACAAGATTACTGTTCTCTATATATATACACATACTTTTTTGTGGCAAAAACCACTTGTAAGAACACAACACATATGGGGCTGGAGAGGTGGCTCAGAGGTTAAGAGCACTGGCTGCTCTTCCAGAGGTCCTGAGTTCAATTCCCAGCAACCACATGGTGGCTCACAACCATCTGTACTGAGATCTGACGCCCTCCTCTGGCGTGCGGGCATACATCGAGGCAGAATGTTGTATACATAATAAATAAATAAATCTTTAAAAAAAAAAAAAAGAACACAACACATTGTTGCTAACTCTAGTCAGCATGCTGTATAGCAGACCTCTGGTTTAGACAGCTCACGGCTGCTGTGGAACCAAGTTCTGTGCTCCTTACCACCTTCCTCTGGGTCCCAGGAGATGTCTTAGGGCCCATACAGTTGGGTCACAGTCACTCTAAACAAGAATTACATTGAAAATTATCCTTTGAAGTTTACTCTTAGATTATTGAGGAAACACACCTAGCTTTATTGGCTTAGGAAAAATTGAGTAATTATAATTTATTTTTTGTATTTATTCTTTGCTGGTATAATACTATGCTTGTTACCTCCGACAGATTTAAGTTCATTAAGTGTTTGCTCCCATGCATTTGAATTTAAACTTTCAGTAAATAAGATATATTTTAGTACTTACACTAAAATTATATATTTTAATAATTAAGATATCTGTAAGGACACTCTCCATAGTTATTTAAATTATATATGGGTTTTTCCTAGAAATGTATGCCCGTTTTACTATTTAAAGAAGTGGGCATCCCTAGAGGTAGTCCTTAAGTGGCCTAAATTTGTTTTTTATACACAAATGTTTAAAATATTTTAACCAAATTCTTTTTTTTTTTAAAGGAGAATCATTCTATACCTGGCTAGAAGGTAAACTTTTAATTTGTGGTTCATTGTTTAGACAACTGATACTCAACAATATTTGAAAGAAATTAACGTTTAGTTTATTATATTTTGTGATAAAATTATGTGAAAACCCTGAGGATGTTAGCAGTCAAAAATCCGTACCAGATGAATATGCAGGCTAAACAGGTTATTGGGTTTTCCTTGGTGTTAACCTATGTAAGTAGCAAACAAGTGTGCATTTGAAGCAGGGGGATTTCTCTTAGGAAGGAAGCACTTGTGATGTGTAAAACAAGGCAATGAGAATTAAATGTAGAAGATGGTACGTATGTACCCTTGTTCATACAGTCCACATTTGCCTAATGAAAACTTAAAGCAATATAGTTTATAACACATTTTTCATCCTTCGTCTTTTCCATATTACCAATATAGAATACTATGAATTAAAAGCTAGATACTCTAGGAGTTTAACAGCCTTGGTTAGTAACTGGGATTATGATGCTTTTGAACTTGCACTATACTGTTTTATATTGGTGGAGGATGAATTAGCAAGCTGAGTGGTAGAGGGAAGTCATTGTTTTATAGCTAGAGCTTCCAACAAAGTGTTAAACTCTAAGTAGTTGATTCTGTGAGTTGTTAGCTGCCTGTGTTTCTTATGAACATAATTTCTGTTTGTTCTTAGTCACTTATATGTATATACTGGTCATTTTAAAGTGAACATGTGTGACTACTATTATGAGTTGTGTTGGAAAATGATGCACAGCTTAAGTTTACCTTAAAGATGAACAATGTGGAAAGTAAGATCAGGGGTGTCCAACATTTGACACTGTGACCTGATACTGGGGTCTACAGGCATGTTGGACTGCATTTATAGATATCTGGGATGAGTTAACACATGAGGTATAAGTTGAACACTCTTGATTGAGACTCAGAGAGAAACACTTGAATGTTGATAATGGAGGAGGAAAATAAAATCTAACAGTGTTTGACCTTAGGCCCTGTGCACCAACCATTTCACTCCACCGTGCTGCTTGGAAGCACTGGATGTGTGTGTGGTTCCTAAGAGCTCATGTAGGTATAGGCAACTGGTTCAGTGTCTTCTGAGGTTGTTTCCTCAGCTGGAGCTGTGACAGTAACTGCTGCCACCTATGCTGTTGGTGGAGAAGTTCTTTTTTTTTTTTTTTTTTGGAGAAGTTCTTGAAAACAGCCCAGAGATATTCTAATTCAGGGCAACTGTGACAGCAGAAAATCTAACATGTTTACATATATTCAGTGTCCCCTAAGCCTATCATTGAAAATTAATTTGAGTGCTCTTAAATATAGAAGTGATCTCCCTAAGTTTGCTGGTCGAACTTGCTATGTACCATTAGAATAGAAGTTGGTAGAATTGCCTTTGTAGGACGGCTTTTTGTGTTACTGCAGAGCAAGAGGTAGAAGCTTTTGCCTGCTCTTCGTGGGCACAGTCACCAGGTTGGGCCTGCAGGTCTAAGACCATTGTCTCACAGCACAACATGGCTGACAGAAACTTTTTACATGCAGAAGGATTAATGTTGCTCAGAGTTTCACGGGGTTTACTCGATGGCTACTTGGCCCTGAGCGTGTGAAAAGAACATCCTGATGGAATGTGTGGCAGAGAGCAGCTGTACTGCAGGCTGGAGGCAGAGAGCGACAGGAAGCAGACAGGAATAACACTGCCCCTCAGGCCCTGCTCCCACTGCTGTATTTCTCCCAGCTAGGCCCCACCAAAACAAACCTAAGAATCCCAACCCTGAGCCTGCAGGGATACTGCATATTCCAGCCATAACAGTGCTCTTAAATATTAATCTAAAGCCCAGGTACTGCCTGTTTTGATTAAATATTCTGTATCTAATGAGCATGGTTTGTTTTTTTCTTTCTGTTTTTCTGAATAGGTTTGTGTCTTGAGAAGAGAGTATTCTATAAGCTTATATCAGGACTACATGCCAGCATCAATTTACATCTGTGTGCAAATTATCTTCTGGAAGGTAATTCGATTTCGTAAATGAAGACTTAATTTACTTCTAAGATACTGTAAAAAGTGTTGGAAAGTAAAATACATATTCTGCAGAGCGAAACAAAAAAAAACGCTTTTTATACTAAAAAACATATATTTCTCTTTATTTTCAGAAACCTGGGGTAAACCTAGTTGGGGACCTAACATCAAAGAATTCAAACGCCGCTTTGATCCTGTGGAAACAAAGGGGGAGGGTCCAAGAAGGCTGAAGAATCTCTACTTTTTATACTTGATTGAGCTTCGTGCTTTGTCAAAGGTGGCCCCTTATTTTGAGCGCTCAATTGTTGATCTTTACACTGGCAACTTGGAAGAAGATGCCGACACCAAGACTCTTCTTCTTAGCATCTTTCAGGACACAAAGTAAGACTTAAATGTCAGTTTTGGAGTCCTCCAGACATTAGCAAAGAGAGATGCAGAGCCGAGGAACACAGGAGCAATATTACCACAGGAGTTTTAGTGATGTTGAGTAAAAAGCCTCTCTAAAGCTTGGCTGCAGAGGGGTTTACACTTGCAAATAGGCTATGTATATTTTAATAAAGAACCAAAGATTTTATGTAGCATCAAAATGCTCTACTGATTTGGTATTCTTTCAGTTACTGCTTAAACTTGTAGAGTCATAGTAAGTGCATAAGCATTACAGTGAGCATACAAGGTGCTATTCGCTTCCTTCTGGAACATAACTGTTCAAATCATCTGTAGTCTGTAAAACAATGCTCTCTGTGTTACAAAAGGCACGAAGGAAAAGGTAGATGGTGAAGGACTAAAGTAAACTACACATTAATGTATACAAGAATACAAATGTTGGCATATTTGGAGATTGCTTTTCACTTGTAAATAATTTTACTAATTTCCTTAAGATACTGCAGTCTTAGCTGGGTATTGGTAGCACACGCCTTTAATCCTAGCACTTGGAGGCAAAGACAGGCAAATCTTTTTGAGTTTGAGGCCAGCTTGGTCCACAGAGCAAGTTCTGAGACAAGGTTCCAAAGATACACAGAGAAACCCTGTCTCGAAAAAAACAAACCCAAAAGAGAGAATAGCTTGCTGTAGTCTTACTGTGTATGCATGAACTGTCACCCTCCTACATCATAAATAGCAGATTTTAAATGTGTGTAAGGTTATAAAATTTTAGCAGAGCACTAGGACAAGCCCTTGGACTTTTCATTAGTAACTTACTAATAGTCTTGTCATTTCATCAGGTCTTTTCCCATGCACTTTGATGAGAAATCCATGTTTGCAGGTGACAAGAAGGGGGCCAAGTCATTAAAGGTAACAGGGGTATTGTGGGAGCCATTTGTTGTATTTTCATCTTAGTCATCCAGACTTTCCTAGTTGTCCAACACTTTGATGCGAGTCTGATTAGATTTCCCTATAGTGATCACTGTTGATTGAGGACCTATGTCACAGCACAGCACTGAGTGGTTTACGGCTGGATCTGTTCTATGGCCAACAGTCTGAGTTACGTTTTATACTCGTTCCTTTTTCTGTTGCTGTGAGGAAATACCCCGACAAAGTAGATTTTAGAAGCCATTCAATGTAAGCCACAACTCAGTTCTTACAAGTAAAGGCCTCTCTCACACTGTTGACTTTCCAGCCCTTGGTTAGGTGTCTTCTCAGTAAAGCGTGTTAAATGTGCACAGGGATATTGGCTTCTATTAATGTCTGTTGTGTGACATACTATGTTGTGTATACAGAGTCAGAGCTTTTACTGTTGAAAAACAACTTAATCGCTTGTAAACTTCAAAACTTTATTCTATATGTAATTCAACCAAATGTAACTTAATTTTAAAAGTCTAATTCTGGTATTTTCTGCACACCAGGAGGAATTCCGGTTACATTTCAAGAACATCTCCCGTATCATGGACTGTGTGGGATGTGATAAATGCAGACTGTGGGGGAAATTACAGGTGTGTGTTGTCTTTCCTTTTCAGACTGTTCATATTCATAGCCTTACATTTTTCTGCTTGCTTTAGTTTTATTTTTCTTTTTGTTTTTAGAGACAGGGTTACTCTGTATAGCCCTGGCTGTCCTGAAGCTAGCTCTCTAGAACAGGCTGGCCTTGAACTCACAAAGATCCACTTGGCTCTGCCTCCCAAGTGCTGGGTTTAAAAGAATTCATCATCACTGCCCAGCTGCTTAGTTTTATCAAGATTTATTTGTTGTTCAATGAATTAGTGTTTGGAAACAAGGAGATCCAAGCATGGCTTTTTTTGTATTGTTACTGAAAGATAACACTACTAAACTGGTTCATGAGCAAGCACATTTTTGTATCCCATGTCTTAGTACCATCATATTTAAAGTTGGTTATATAAGCCCTAAACATTCAATTTTGAACATGGTTTGTTTCAGTGGTGAAACAAAATGCTAAAGTTCTGTGTGTCAGGCCTTAATCTTTAGTGTACAGAGGATTATTTGATTTTTTACCTTATTTTCTTCCAAAGATGATGATAAGTACAGAAAGTCAAAAGGCAAAATTTTTGTTTGTGTGGGTATTTTTCTTTTTTTTTTTTTTAAATACAGGTCTTGCTTTGTACTCAAGGCATCATTAAATTTGTGATCTTTCTGCACCAGCTGGTGAGATAGGTTTATTTTAAAGGAAGCTGTGCTGAAATCAAGATTTTCTTTTCCTCTAGTGCTGAGAACTATCTTATTGTTGCAATACTCTTGGAACTTTGAATTGCTAAGGTTCTAAATGCAGCAACTGTGTTTAAGAAGTCTGGGGTGCAGAGCTGAGGTAGAGCAGGTTTGATCCCCTAACACTACAACAACAACAAAAAAAAGTAGTAGTGCTTTCAAGATTCCGAGTCAGCACTGTGTTCTGAAGATAAAAACAGGCACTTCAGTCATCTGGAACAGAAACATGCTCAACAAGCATCAGGTTGATCAAGTTTTCCTGAGCATTGTTGTGTTTGTGTGCATGTGACCTGTGAGGGGATAGACACTGCTCGTGCATAATCCAGCCCTGTGTCGTAAAGCTCAACCCATAGGATTTTAAAAAGAAATTATTTCCCTTGTTTATATTTAGGGCAGTGTGTATGTGTGTATGTGTGCGCGCACGCATGTGCTCTCACATGCCCAGAGAGGCCAGTAGAAGGTGTCAGATTCCCTGGAGCTGGAATTACAGGTGCTTATGAGCCAGTGGATAGAGCAGCAAGCATCCTAGCTGCTGGGCCATGTCTCCAGCTCCCTCATAGGGTGTTCAGTGTCCTTACTGAGCAATTCTTCATAGTAGCTATTGTGTGACGTTAATTGTAAGTTTATGAATATTCTCTTTAGACTCAGGGTTTAGGAACTGCCTTGAAGATACTATTCTCTGAAAAAGAAATCCAGAAACTTCCGGAGAACAGTCCATCTAAAGGCTTCCAGCTCACTCGGCAGGAAATAGTTGCTCTTTTAAATGCTTTTGGAAGGTAAGAATTGCACCTACAGCTGAGACCTGACTCCCTCGAGGCTTCACTATACTGCACAGATTGTCTTTTTTCCCCAAAGGTATGCTTTGGTTTGGCTTGCTAACAGAAGATTAAAATGCTGGGTGTGATGGCACACACTCAACCCCAGCTTGAGGAGCTGAGGAAGGCAGATCATGAGTTCAAGGCCAACCTAGCCTAAGTAGTAAAAAGTGTGTCTCAAAACAAAACAAAACAAAACAAAAAAAAAACCTTAAATTGTTTAGTGTGACCTTCAGGCTTACAGTCAGTTCTCTGTCAGTCCCAGGAAGAACTGATAGTTTCCAGTACCAGTGCCTTTCAGTTTAACTTCTCAGTTTGATGGGGGAAAGAGTCTCCTAATATTCTTTATTTTATTTGGCTACTTGTAGTATGGAGGAGCTGCGGGTTGTGTCCCACCAGCTAGCTTATACCCAAAATAATTACACAGAAACTGTATTCATTTAAACACTGTCTGGCCCATTATTTCTAGCCTCTTATTGGCTAACTCTCACATCTTGCTTTAACCCATATCTAATAATCTGTGTTCACCACAAGGCCATGGCTTACCAGGAAAGTTCAGCATGTCTGACCTGGCGGCTGGCTCCATGGCGGCTGTCTCTGCCTTCTTCCTACCCGCATTCTGTTCTGTCTACCACGCCCATCTAAGGGCTGCCCTATCAAAAGGCCAAGGCAGTTTTCTTTATTCATCCAATGAAAGCAACACATAGAAAGAAGGACCTCTTACACCAGCTACTTACTGCCTGCTGTAGTATAGCAGTAGACAGGAGGAGAATGTGATGAAGTAATCAAAGATATGAAGCCTTTTCCCTGCCCTGTATTGCCTACACAGTGTGTGGGAGTCCTCTTCCACATTCCTGCCCCATTTCTTTCTGTATCAGGAAACATACACTGCTTCTTATATCAGAAATGGGTATAAAAATAATTTGAATTTATAGGGAGATTTATGCAGTGTTGAAGGTTATAAAGCAGAAGGAAAAGAATCAGGAAATTGTATGCAGTGTTGTAACAGTAGGGCAAAGTAAGTCACATCATGGAGAAAATTTATTTTTAAACTGGAACCAGATGACAGGGATTAATGTGTATGTTTTATGAGTGTGATTTTAAATTCAAAGGAGACCGATCACTTAAAGATAACTTAGTTATGTCCCACCTTAATGCCAAGCCTTCACCTGTTTCCTCCACGTGTTTTTATCTAGGCAGGGTTTTGCTCTTGTGCAAGCTGACCTGGAACTCTGGCTGCCTCAGCCCTGGGTGCTAGGGTGGGAGCTGCTATGTCCAGCTCTTCTCTATGTGAAGATGTCTGTGCTAATTGACATACAGCTCACAAGGTAGCAGCTGGTGATGGTTCACATCGCAGGATACATTCAGCCTACACATTTTTGAGGTTTGAAGAAAAATAACAAGAAACTAGGTAAAATGTAAATTAATTGAAATGAAAAATGTCTTAAATAACTTAAACATTTTAATATAAAAATTAAATTAAGGAAAAATCAAACTAAACATTCCATCAAAGTTTCACTGGCTCTCAGAAATGTCCCTCCTAGCTTTAGCTCTTGTCTAGAGCCCCTTCTCCTCTAGGGAATGCTGGCTAGGAATCAGGTTTTGGAGTCCTGGGATCCTGACCTGTCATTTGCCAGCAGTGCATCTCAGCAAACCTTGGCTCCTCTTCAGAGCCAACCTGCGACCTGCTAGCTGGCTGTCTTTTTTTTTTTTTTTATTATTTGGGACAGGGTTTCTCTGTGTATCTCTGGCTGTCCTGGAACTCACTTTGTAGACCAGGCTGGCCTCGAACTCAGAGAGATTCGCCTGCCTCTGCTTCCCTGAGTGCTGGGATTAAAGGCATACTGGAGTTTTGTTTGATTAACCCTGAATTTTTTACATTAGGAAAAATGACCTTGTAGGTTTTTGATTTCTTTGCATCCCAGAATTTTATTTCTGGGTTTGAGCTGCCTATTTATTCATTGAGCCAGCAATCACTTACACAGTACCATAAATGTAGATAGGTAATGGGAGTTGGGAGGGACTTGTGAGCCATGCATGGCACTGTTTCTGTCGTTCATCTACAGTCTTTGTTATTGTTTTGTTTTCAAGACAGGGTTTCTCTGTATGGCCCTGGCTGTCCTGTATCTCACTCTGTAGACCAGACAGACTCCCTCCTAACTCAAGAGATCCATTTGCCTCAGCCACCCGAGTGCTGGGATTGAAGGCGTGCACCACCACACCTAGCTCTCATCTGTAGTCTTGATGTGAAGATGAATTGGCTTCCTTTGCCCTTCTAAGCAAGCCCAAAGAACCAGAGCCCTGTGATTTGTCACTTTTAATGGAATTACAGCATAACTATTTAAAGTGAATTCTCATAGGTTTGCTCCATCCTTTGTTTCTCTGTGCTCTCTCTGCACTTCCTATCTCTTGTCAAAACAGGCATCCCATGAGTCACTTGTCAGTGAGGTGAACACGTTTCTCTACTCCTGACCGCATACTAGGTCGGAGTTGCTTTGGCTTCAAGAGAGCTACAAACAGTATACATCAGAGTCAGAACTGAATCATTTTACCACCCCTGGAGCCAGTTGCCATCACTGTCTAATAGTATAGTGAAAACGTAGTATATATACAGAATTTGTTTTATAGTATAAAGAAAAATGATGTTTTACCCTTTGTAGGGAAATGGATGGAACTCAAGACAGTGAATCACATCAGGCTTAGAACGACGATGTTTTCTGTCATTTGTGGATACAGATTTTATACACACAACACAGATGATGTGGGCGTCCCCTCTGTGTGCTATGAATATGTTTTATTACCATTGGTTATTAAAGAAGCTGTTTCAGTCAATGGCTTAGTAGAGTAAAGCCAGGTGGAAATCCGAACAGAGATATAGAGAGAAAGTAGGTGGAGTCAGGGAGATGCCATGTAGCAGCTGAAGGAGAAAGACACCAGCTGCTGGCCAGAACCTTACCTGTAGGCCACAGTCTCATGGTGATATACAGACTAATAGAAATGGGTTAATTTAAGATGTAAGAGTTAGCTAGAAATATGCATAAGCTATTGACCAATGTTGCAATGTTGTAATTAATATAGTTTCTACATTATTATTTGAGTCTGGGCACTTGGGAAATGAATGAGCGGTTTCTACCCCCCCCACACACACACACACACCATGTTTGTATAAATGACATTAAAGTAAAGAAAACTAGGGTAACAAAACATTAATGAGATGGGTGAGGGATGAGAATGGAGAAAGCAGAAGTAGGGATAGAATATATTTAAAGCACATTGTATACATATATGAAAATAAATCCAATTCCAATTAAAGTTAAAAACAAAACAAAAACCAGAGGCCAGAGATTGAAAGACTTAATATAAGAATATAAAGTAACTTCCTTTTTCTAAAATACTCCATACAGGGTAGGCCTAGAAAGATTTTATTTCTAGGCTTTCCCCCAATTGTCTGCTCAAGTAAGGGTTAACTTACCTTATAGCACAATGGTGCCTACCTCCTTCTAAACACCTAGATCCTCCTGCCTGCATCACTTTGTATACTGAACTTAGTTCTTCAGACAGTGGAAGAGAGCACACTTAGTGTCTCTGTGATATATAGATTTGAACATAAGAATTTTGGCATTTTCTGTAGTTGGGAACTTTGTGGATGTTCAGCATTATCCCAGTTTTAGTTTTGCATGTTTTCCAGCAATAAAACCCAAATATATGCAATGAAAAAAAAATAAATAAAATGGAATTTTCAATATTTAGTGTTTGGTTCCTTTAGATTTTTGCTTCCAGGATCCGGTATCAGCTATTCTAATGTGTACACATCTCATCGCTGTCCTTACTAACAAGCACTTGTTTTCCTCCTGTAGGCTTTCTACAAGCATAAGAGAATTACAGAACTTTAAAGCGTTATTACAGCACAGGAGGTAATGAAGACTTTTCTATGTCTCTGTAGACATAACGGACTGTGTGAAGCCTTTTAGCTTTGGACCTTGAGCAGACAAAGTGTCTAAGACTTCAAGAATTCTGAACTCTTACAGAGAAAATTCAAATGTTCACTTGAATATTTATGATCCTTAATAGAATATCGACTAGAGATATTTATAAATGAAGTATATACTTTAAAATTGTAAGTTATACTAATCCCATGTTTGTTTCACATTGGTTTTGTTTGTATTGTATTACCCTGCGTTCCTTGTTGTCAAACTTTAAATGACTGTTTATCCTGAGAAGACTATTCAGTCTGTGATAGAAGAACTAGGGAACCAGTGCGCCTAGGGCTGGTCTCAGTGACAGAAAGTTGACAGTGCTGTAGTGTTTCCACCTTGCTGACACTGTGTGTCCTTCTGTGATACGGGGCTGTCACTATAATGAATAGGCCTTTCAGTGACTAGTGAGAGAGGTTCTGGATGATTTCCCAGGACTCAACCACTTTAAGATGTTTAATTGCTGTTGCTGCTTTGGTTTTGGCCTAAAGGGACCTGCCTTGGTGGAAGTGGGTAAGTGCCCTCCCGTGCTTACTTGGCCAGATGTCCTGTGTACACCAGGCCGGCTCAGAGTGGAGTGTCCGTTCCCTAAAGCCTACAGTTCCTCTTCTTTGGACTTCTTCATTCCTTTCCTAATTATAAACATTCTCAGTTTCTTTATGAAAAGCCCTATTTATTTAATGGATTGTTTATTCATAAAATTTGAATGGGATCCTGTGGGTTTATAATGCTAATGCATTATACACAAATTTTGCTGTTTTAAAGTGCATTTTCAATATTTGATTTTGACACAATCTATGCAATCCTCTACCTCTTGGTGTGATTCTGTCTGGTGAGATGCTTTGGCAGGCGTGTCACTTCCCCCTTCTCCATCTTCAGTTCATCCCAGATCAGCCGTCCATGGTGTGACTTGAGACAGTAGAGGACTGGAAGGCCTAGACTGTCATTTTTTAAACCTGGGATTTAAAGTCTTTAAATATTTTAAATTTTGGTTCTTCTAAAGGTGGCAGTGGATAATGAAATTACTTGAAAGGTTTTTACCTGTGTGGAAGTAATGCGAGTCCAAAGTCTCGCTTTTCCTTAGAGTCCGTCTTTCTGAAGTAAACAGTAAGTGCTCTTAAAAACCCATATCTTATCTGCCAAAGTCTGACCTGTCTTCCTTGTGACTTCATGGTGTGTGCCAGATTGAGTTGGCTCCCTCCTCTCTCAGTGCTTCGTCATCCACTGTGGAGGGGTGATGGGGACTGAGGCCTCACTACTTATTTCCCTCCTAATTTCTAACCTTTATAAACTTAATGTTTTATTGATAGTGGTGAATTTTGTAGATTGATTATTTTTTTAAGCTGGCTTTCAGTTTCTTCTTTGCTTTTTATTTTAAAGAGCTGCAAGTGTTGCCGTGTGATGGGAGTGGGCCACTGTAAGACAGAAAGCCCACAAAGTGAATGCCAGTGACCTCGCTAGTGCATCAGTAAGAAGTGTTCTGTAGTGTCCATTTAGAATGTAAGGAAATGTGAAAATTTTGCACTTTGTTTTTATTTTAAATGCAGAGGTCATTTTGGTAATGTTCCTTACCATTACTGCAGCTAGATGCTATTGTTTTACACTATTGGCTTGAGAAAAAAACATATTCATTTCCACTTGCTGAATTTTTCTTAACGTGATTTATTTCAAGCTTAGGACACACAGTAGTATTGGAGTGTGTTCTAGGAAATTGAAAAGCTGTGGTTAAGTTAGAATGTACTCAAGGTTCACTGAATTTCCTCAGTAAAGGAAGTATTCTTAAGTTGATGTTCATTGGATAACTTTTACATCACGATTGTGTGCATGGCCTGTATTTCCATGTATCTGAGGACTGTGGAGACTGTCAGCTGCTGAGCTGGGCATATGAGGCTGGGCACTGCACCAGTGCTGGGGGATACTGCCTACACTGAGAGCGCTTGACAGCTGAGCCACAACATGCTGTCTGTGTCTCATCACCCACTGTAAAACTCGAGCACCTGACAAGCGAGACCGATGGGAATGAGCGCACCTGGTACATATTCAACATGAAGAAGAGCAGGTCCTACGCTTGTTTTCCTGTAATGGCATTCGTGTGAGACACTGTACATACTAAAATATGGCCAGTGTTCAGTACACCTCCGGTTTTGGATTATGTGGCGGATCAGCCAGAACAAGATGTCAGTTTTGAAAGTTGACAAGTCAAATGTTGGGCCTCTGTGTCGTGTGTGTGAAACGCTATGCCGTATTTCTCGACTCTGCCTAGGTGCCACTGTGTATAAGGAAAGACAGCTGTGCTGGTCTTCTTGGCACTGCCTTCAGCTGGACATCTGGACACAGTTGACAGTAGGCCTCCCCGCAGTTGCAGAAGCCAAGGCTAGTCACCAGAAGGCTCGGACCAGGTACACGGTGTCATGGAAATTCCGTGGTACAAGCCAAGCACAGAAATCCACATGTCCTTTATTTGAAGTAACATCTACAGGTGCAACTTTGAGTTTTCGGAGAATTCCATATAATTCACTGTTGTATCCACCAGAATCTAGACCATGAATTAAAGTACATGTTTCTGCAATCTTTGTTGCTTTGGTTTTTTTCTCCTCCTCCATTTCAAGAGCAATCAATTATAACTTAAGAATCAGAAGAAAATGTACATCTACATCCTCTGAGGGGCTCTTCTCACGCTCACAATGTCAGGCGTTGGCAGCCTGTGCTGAGGGTGCCACATGCGTCAGCTCGTCACCAGCACACTAGGTGGTAAGTACAATTATTTCCTAAAGCATAAAAACAGATGAGTTGAGACTCAGCCAAAGTCATAACTCACGGCTGTGGAGCCTGAAAGTGTCACCAGAACCATCAGCTCCAGAGCCTCTACTGATGATAACGAGAGCCATTTGTGTCATTTCTGTAAAGACCTATTACCATTCAATCAAAGTATAGGAACCTTGGCATTCTTTGATTTGTATTGAGCCATAGGCTTTATAAAAAACAATGCTTGTTTTATTTAACTTTCTGAATAGGAATAGGTGGTACATTCATATGGTTAAAAAATACATTTTATACCAAAAATATGCTACAGTGCACACAGATGCCTTCTTCCCTGGGCTTTGTGTATTTCCATCCATACTTTTTTTTTAAAAAAATAGCCAACATATATAAATAGAAAGCCTTATTTCTCTCTATCCGGGAGTGATATCACACACACATCATTTGCTTTTTATCACCTGATATTGCAGTGGCCACATGGCACAGACGCCTTTTCACTTTAGTGGTTGCTGGGCATCCTTACCATGGCCGTGTCATTATTTAGTTGAACAGTACCATTCCTGGGCTTTGTCCACATGTCATGTCTCGTTTGTACCTGCATCGCTACGGTAAGTATTGAAAAGTGAAAGACGACACACACTTTGCGTTGTGAAAGGCACTGATGGAGTCTGTCCTCCAGAGGCTGGTTCTGTTCACACGCCACCTACAGTCTGACAGTGCTGCTCACCCACAACATCTGGGGTCTGCCAAACTATATAAAATGAACAACTTTTAATATGTGAAGGCATCTCCTGGCTCTGCTTACTGATCTTTGTCCGTTTTGACCACGTGATTATTAGAACCTCACCTGTTAGTATTGGTCCTTCGAGTGTGATGAGCGGCTTAGTCTTCTAGTTATTTGGCTTTGTTTGCTCTAATAGGTTTTCCATGCTGTTTTCTAGTCGGATTTACTGGTCCTTTGGTAGCTTCTATATTAACTCACAGAATAGCTTCCCCACTTCTGACCAAGACCGCAATCCACTGGTATTTTTTTTTTCTGAAGTGTTTATGGTTTTGCTTTATTCTTCTAACTCAGCCTCAACACTGGAAAGACCCTTTTAGATTTTAACTACCTGGAGAATTTGAGCACTCTTACTAAATGGAGCGATTCATAGAGGTCTGACACAGCACCCATGAAGTCAGAGTTCACCTGGTAAGTAAGACAAAGTCTCCAAGAATGATTTTGGACTTCCCTTCATATAAGTAAGACAAAACAACAAAAAAATTCCCTCCTCCATTTATTTGTTAAAAAAAAATTGGGTATCTGTTAAAGACTCATAAGTGGGGGACCCTTCAGTGAGTGCTAAGCTTGGTAAAAGTGCAAGAGTTACTTAAGGGCAGCTCTGAAAAGAACGGGATTTGACTCTCGAGGGGTCTGGGAATGTAGCAATGAGCGAAACAAACACTCCTGCCACCACACAGCTCAGCTTCCACAGCCCAACCAGATTCCATTCCATTTATAGTAAGACCACACCTGAAGAAAATGCCACCGAGGCCATGTGCCACCTAAAAGGTTCCCTCCTGATGCTGTCAGAACACTGACTGGGGAAAGCGATTTGACAGCTGCCAGTCAGGGCCTCATCAAACCACACAGGCCAACCTGCCTGGGATGTACCTACAGCTGGGCAAAGCCTTTGACAGGCCTCTGACCTGTAGACTTGAAGCCTGGAGGGGGCTGGTGAGTTTATTTATAGGGAACTTCAGGAAGGAGGCTTAGCTCCACAGACACAGCAGCCCTGGGAAAGCACTGTTTATCTGAATGTAAGCACCCTTTTATGCTTAGTTAGGGTCTTGAAGAAACATCATGACTGGGAAATACTAGTGGGTGTCAGAAACATGGGTAACAGTTACATGAACAAGGGTTGGTAGAAAGGGAAGAATTTTGAGGCTCATAAGCCAAATAAAGTGGGCCTCTAAACTCCAGTTCTAACTGGGCTAAAGTGCAGGGAAAAATGGTCTGTTGAGAGCATAGAAAGTCAGAATTTGAGGTGTTAACCAGATGAGACTTAGGGAAAAGAAGCCACCAGTGAGGTATCTACATCAGAAAACGGAGCAGGGGCAGATGAAGGTTTGGAGAAGGCAACTGTGGATATCCGTAGGAGCTGCCAAGACCCTACATTGGATCCAAGGAGCACAAGCCTGGACTGCATGAGTCCATACTGAACACAGTACCCACCCAGGGCAAGGACAAGATAAAGGTATTGGGAGTCCAATAGTTTGGGACATAGGGATGGCTACGGCAAGTACCAGGCATTTTGTTCTTTGGGAGAGGGGCCTTCACGTCCCTGCCAGGAGACAAGAGGAAGTTAATGTATGTGTGATCCTCTTTGTGCTGTCTCAGGTCCAAACTCATGACAACTGCAGTCAGTCCAGCCCAGTACAGCAGAGACACCCAGTGGACACTGAATTACACAGCTTGTCTTCACAGTCCCACTTTAAAAGTTTTCTCACTTTGCCTTCTTGGTTTAGTCTTTGCTGAGAGCTGACTCGAGCCTGTTCCGTGCAGCAGCTCCCATCTGGTCCCATCAGCTGTGGATAGCTCATACTGGAAAAAATGGAAATGGACACTGGTGCATGTCTGCACCAGTCTGCTTAGATCTCTGACCGGTAAAAGTGAGAGGATTCTTTTCTAAAATAGTTGTTCTCACTTGTAACCTTGGAGAACAAACAGGGATGGAATGTATGTAGCTCAGTGGCAAAACACTTGCTTAGCGGGTGTAAGGCCAAGATTTGATGGCCACTGTGCAAGTACACATGCATATGGGTACACAACGTTCTAGTAACACATAATACACTACGCAGATCCGAGTGAGGTTCTCGTACTGCTTCTCAAGTGCCCACAGTAATTAACACTAACGCTGCTTTTGTTCTTCATAGGGGTGAAGTGTTGGTTCAATACTATTGTTCACAAAAAGCAGCTGGGAATTTGGGCAAACCTTAGTGCCTCCCAATCTATGCAGACAAACATGGGACCAGAACAGCTACTATGTGTCTGACACGGTCAAGACAGAGTTGTCAGGAGCAGAGGATACAGCTCAGTGGTAGAGCATTGGCCATATCTGAGTAAGGCCCTGGAGTCCATCCTTGCTGCAGCCACAAGGAAAACAATGTGACCTGGATGTATGCTGTACTAACTTGTAGCTCACAACTCCTAACACTTGGCTGTTAACCAAGTCTAATGGAATATTTGCCAGTCAATGGTAGCTACAAACATAGCTTGGCCAGATCCTTAGCTCTGTGGGCAAATGACTTTCCCAGCAGTCCAACTCGTGTGTGTCCTGTTCTTGCTACGGCAGACCTCAATGCTGGTACCACATTTTTGGTGGGATTCCCTCTGTCCCATGTACCTGTTCATCTCAGAGTACTGCTATAGCTCAGGCTGGACTCAAACTTGACCTAGTGTTGGGATTGCAAGCATAATACCCGGCTTGACCCTGTGTACTTCAAGCTGTAATATTACCAGGATTTTAATTTCATGGTGGTGTAAACATGAACTTTTCTTTCCCCAGGTTTAATCTAACACATTTGGAACAGTTTTGTTCCTCTTTCCCTACATGGGATCCACGGCCACCGTGTTTCGGGGACAGCCTTTAAGAGTTAATAGTCTTTTTAAACAATGGTGAGTTTCCATAGACATATCATTTTGCCCTTTCCAATAAAAAATAAACAGCTGGCATGAATGCTGACAGCGTTATCGTAAAAGTGGATCATAGCTTGGTTAGTGCTGGGTGCCTGTCTTCTCTGTGACAAACTGTAAAGTGTGCATGTGCTATAAAATGAGTGCACCCAGAACTATTTTGATGCTGCTGTGCTCTTCAGAAAGCCCTGCCCTCGGCTGCTGCTGGAGACAAGGACACAGGCACTGGCTGCAACAGTGAACACTTGTAGGTACAGTGACAGGTAAGCTGTCTTATATACACTGTTATTGTAAACTACTGAGTCAGGCCTCCATGTGGAGTTCACCCTGGCAAATAACCATTGAGGATGGCTTGTAACCCAGATGTTTGCTCATGCTCAAAAGCAAAGATGTGGTGAGGGGCTGTGTAGGTCTTCAACGTGGTATTCTATCCAATCACGGCCCATTTGAAACCATCTAAATAGGAGAGAGTGGGTTTGTCCCTGTTAAATCCCTGAACTCTAGGACAGCAGGAGAGATGTGTGAAGTGGGCTAGAGCCTGTGAGCGAGACTTGTCTTCCGGCCCTGGTGACCAGATGATGCAGTTTGTGAGAAGCCAGAGCATCTAAGCCTCCAGGATTGCCATTTTGGTTCTAGGGTGCACCCAGGGGAGCCCTGAGATAGCACATGGGAACATTGTCGGGGAACACTATCTGGCTGAGACAGGGGTCCTGCTACCACATAGGCAGAACCCACTTTTTCACACCCATAGCTTTCAACAGACGTCGAAGAACTGTTTAAAAATCACAGGCAGTGAGCACCATGTCAGGCTCATCCAATAACAGGCATGCTTACAGAAAAGCTGTCAGGAGTCCACAGTCCTTTAGCTTGAGGGCCAGAAATGTTTATTGTTAACACTCTGTGGGGAGCCCGTGGCTTACTGTCGGCTATAGCGAGCACTGGCTGAGTCAGGGAAGGCACTCTCGCCTTCCTCCTGAGGTAGTGCGTATTCAGTTAAACTGGGCTGAAGAAAACTACAAAGTGGCTACCCACACGGCCGGGCCGACTAGTGCTGGTAAGTGCATCTTGACAGCTTCCGTTTGTTCCTGGAGTGCGTACAGTATAGTGCCTTCGGTGAAGAAGCACCAGGCTGTGGGCAGGGTTCAGGAGAGACTGCTGTGGAGCCTGTTACTACAGACGGCGGTCCCCTGCTTCCCTAGACTTTCAACACTGGAGTGGCAGGTACAGGCGTCACAATCACTGGGACCTTCAATGACCTTCAGACGGAAGGATCTTACAGCTGTTAGACCCCGTATTCTATACGTTTTAAAGTGAATTATGCATGAAAATCTGTGCAAACTACAACACTGCAATAACAATCAAGGAAAAAACCTAGTATACTTTAGCATTAGTATTTAAGTTATATAAAATACATCTTTATAAAAGTACAGAATCTCTCTTAAAAGTTTAAATTATACCCACTGAAATAGCCAGGCTCTCTGCTAGTACTAAAGTTAAGAGTTTATCACTCTGAATTATTGCTTAGTCCTACCTAGCCTTGAGAAAGCTATTGCAAAAAAACTGGAGTCCTGTTTCATAAGGAAAAGTGCCCTAAAAACTCAGCTGTCATCCAGTCTGTCTGGCTGAAGGTTTCCGACAGAGGACTCTTGCACAGGACTGTCAGCTGGTACTACCCTTGGCTGGCTTTGTCTGGATCCAAAGTGGAGTCTTGCTGCAGAGTTCCTGCTTGGGCCAGGGAGCTGTTACTTTGTTGTCCCCAATCATAGTAGTCTGGAGCAAAACTTTAAACAAACAAACAAAACCAGTTCAGGGGCTTGACATTAGCAACAGACCCGAGTTCTTCACCAGGTGTCTTGAAGCCCATTTTCCAACCAACAGCTACACACAACTCTGGCGGCCTGTGTTCAAGTCTACTGGACTCTGCAGTGCTCAGAACTCGAACTACTAGAACCTAAAACTAGCCACTGTAGAGAACATAGTTTTAGCAAAAAAAATTGTGCCTGAACCCTAAGGTGGCATTATAGTGTACTACCCGTACATTCTGGACAGACAACTTCTAAGTCTCAAGTTCCTCATCTGTGGGACAGGAGTGACATTAGTAATTTCCTTGTTGGGCTGTTGTCAGGGTTGAGTGGACACCTACAACAGTTCTCAAAAGCAATATCTAAGATCTCATTAGAACTCAGAATACTGTTTTCATTTTCCTTTATCATGGAATACGGTCTTTTCTTTCTCTGTGTACAGGGTGAGTACTCTCCTCTCTGCTCTTAACTTCTGGCAAGAAAAGGTTAGGGATGCTCCAGCAGGGTAGCTAGGTAAGAAAACCACAGTTTCAGGCAGAAGTGGAGCCCGAACTCTGGGAGGGTAACTTTTGCCCTTGAGAAATCTTTGCATGTTGGCTTGCTTCCAGAGACTGTACTCTACACATGGCTGCTCTGTGCCTTTCCTTAACTGCTTTTAATTTTTATATGATCGTGGATCTCTCCTCCGGGGAGACAGGAATGTATTCTGTTTCAGCTTTGTATCCCAAACCAAGGTCCTCTCAGAGCCCTCTCCTCATTCCCAAGGACTTTCTCTGTTAGTTATACAGAGAGCAAAGCAAGCACCGCATTCTGAGCACTGGGCAGATAGCGCAAAAGGTGAGGAGGAACCAAAGCCATGAGGGCTGCTCCTGGCAGGCAGATGCTTCCTATCTCCTAGCTGTTATCCAGACTGGAACTAGTTGAAGGCAGCCAGGTACAGCTTATTTACTGCCCTGAGCACACACACCACTGTGAATGCTAACATGTGTAAGCACCCACCCCAGAACAGACTGAGCCCAGTCTGCTAGTGACTTTTCAAGAAAGGGAGGCAGTTCCCATGTGCTCTGACACTGAGTGTGCTCCAGGGCCAGCCACAGTGCTTACCCAGCAAAGGGACTCCCTCAGACAGGTCTTGAATCATGAGAACTCAACTATACTGACCTCATAAGGTTGTAGCAAACAATGAATGAGGTGATATTTGTGAATATCTTGTAACTGTTTAAGAATGGCAAATTTCAGGCCTGGCGGTGGTGGCGCACGCCTTTAATCCCAGCACTCGGGAGGCAGAGGCAAGCGGATCTCTGTGAGTTCGAGGCCAGCCTGGTCTACAAAGAGTTCCAGGACAGGCTTCAAAGCTACAGAGAAACCCTGTCTCGAAAAAACCAAAAAAAAAAAAAAAAAAAAACAATGGCAAATTTCAAAATTTTGGTTCTTAAAATATTCACTCTAGTGATTATTGTTCATGTATTCTCTGGCTCTAGAAGAGGATCAGAGATGTCTGCCTGGATGTCCCAGATCAATTTCACTGAGTGATTCAAGCAGCAAATGCCCTGGCGCTCTCTGGGAAGGCTCGGAGGAGTCCTAAGTAAAGGTTGATTTCTTTACAATCAGCACAGCTATCAAGCATTCCATGGAATACTGAGTAGGAAGAATGCTGGGGGAGGGGAATCTTCTAAAGACCTTTGGTTTTCTCTCACCCCTGGCTACGTCCCATGCAGGGCAGTTCTGTCAGGGGTAGTCTCTCTCCACCAGAAGCAGGCTCTTACCTTCCCTGAAGTCCCTGAGGAGCAATGTTCCAGGCAAGATCATCATCACTGTCGTATCTTCGGGGGTTGTCAAAGAAGTAAGACCTGGGGCTGAAGCCATGGCTGGGGACCATCCCAGGGCTGGTCTGGAAGAAGACATTATCCTTTAGCATCCACAACAGCCTGCTAGCATGAGGAAGGAGTGCTGCCATTGGCTAGAGTGTTTAATGTGCCTCTTTTCTTCTTTTCCTTCTTGTCAAGACAGGGTCTCATGAATCCCAGGCTTGCCTCAACCTCAGTAGCCAAAGATGGCCTTCAATTGCTGATTTCCCTCCTTTTACCTCTCAGGCGCTGGGGATCAAACCTAAGGTTCCCTGCATTGCTAGGCAAACACTCTGCCAATTGAGCTACAGTCCCCAAAATACATCATGGAGGAGGGAGGGGCTGCTTTCTTTAAGGATCTATAGGGAGTTTATAAAAAAGGACAGACTAGTTGGTGAGAAAAAGGAGATCAGAAGGAGTGAGGGAAACAGGGAGAGAAGAGGAGCAAAAACATAAGCCTGTATAAACCTCACAATGGCGTTCTTAGTTCCAATGGTGAATTACTGTTCATATGAATTACATATCCTCACAGATACGTCCAAATAGCCAGGCATGGCCATTCACACTCACAGTCCCAGCACTTGGGAGGCTGGGGCAAGAGGTTCTGTCTCAAGCTCAAATTCTACAGCAGACTTTTTATCTCAAAACGACAAAAAGTTCCCCAAACTAAAGCAGACAGTCCATGTGGAGACACACCTGTATAAGCACATGGGCTCTCGGGGGTCCCTCCTTGATCTTTCATTCTTTTGCCCCAAACTGAATCCTCAAAAAAAATGCACATGGGCATTGCTGGAGTCCATCCTGGCAGAGCCAGGCTGGACTCCATCTCCCCCTTACCTTGGTCTGTTTCCTGTGCCTGGTTCAGCAGTGACCACCCAGAGGTATGGACCAGGAGCTGTGGCGTGTCTACGTGCATCATTCTGTGACGCAATCGCTCACACTGCCGCCCGTCCCCCCGAGTGTATGACCCAGGAAGACAGAGCTGTACCCCAGCTTATATGGTGCAGCAAGGCTTCCAGGGGATTCTGAACTTGACTTGGTTTTCTCTTCTAGAGGGTTGGCTCAGCAGATGTGGCCAAACACAAGTGGGTGGCTCTAGCAAGGTCACTGCGACGCCACTGCCTTGCTCTCCCACTCCCTGATGAGCTGCTATCACTCTGGGATAAAGTGAGTCTTCAGTCTTTTTCAGACAGTATCATGTAGCTCCGGCTGGCTTTGAACCACGTAGCCAAACATGACTGAAACTCTGATCCTCATGCTTCTATCTCCCCAGTGCTAGGATCACATGCCTGGATTATGTGGTATTACGGATGAAACCCAAGGCTTCATGCATGTCAGGCAAGTACTCTCCTAACTGCCATACCTCCCTCCGCCTTCTGCTAAAAGAACAGCATATATGGGAGGGGGCAGTGAACACTGTGCGGCATTGGGCATCACTAGTTCTTGAAAACCCTTGAGGGGGGCTGGAGAGATGGCTCAGTGGTTAAGAGCATTGCCTGCTCCTCCAAAGGTCCTGAGTTCAATTCCCAGCAACCACATGGTGGCTCACAGCCATCTGTAGTGAGATCTGGTGCCCTCTTCTGGCATACAAACATACATAGAAGGAATGTTGTATACATAATAAATAAATAAATCTTTAAAAAAAAAAAAAAAAGAAAAGAAAACCCTTGAGTGTATGATAACCACCTCTGTGATCGCACTCTGCTTAAGGTCCAAGATTCTCACTAGTTCCTGAGCCATGAGACATACCTTAATTTTCATTTCTTTTATAAAATAAAGCTAAACCCCCAAATGCATTTTCTTTAAGAGAATTAAGAGAAAGAAGATCCTACTCGAAAGAGTCGCGGAGAGCCTACCTCACAATGGTCACTTTTCACTGAAAAACTAGGAGGGAAATTCTACTTGCTGGTTTCAAGAGGATTAGGGGTGCCAGCAAACGGAGACTAAGTACTTACAAGGTCCTTCGTGGGGCTTCTGACTCGGAAGAAGTAGACCACCAAGGTGGTGGGTAGGAGCTCCCACACGAAAAGCACCACGCCGAACACCACATAGCCAGCATCACCCAGCTGGCTCTTCAGGTCTGCCTGTTCCAGAGTAGGGAAAATGAAGTCAGGAGACCTCAGGCAACCGGTGGTGGAGGACACAGAGCAGAGAACACCTCTAGGCACAGTGATATGCCCCCCTAAAACCCACTCTTGAAACCTGGTCTCAGTGATGGGTCAGGCCCCAGCTGGAGAACAGTGGAGATCATTTAGATGGCTATGACTGGCCACTCACTTACTTTTGCAGCTCAGGGGATGAACCCAGAGCCCACACCCAGCCCAGACTCCTCCCCTAAAGGAGAATAGCTTGTCTGTCCAGATTCATCTTCACAATAGCCACACCCTGTTCCCACAAGAGCTGACCACAGAAAGTTTGTCCAGGCAAAGTCCCCTGAGCAAGGGGAGGGCCACGGGGGCTTCATGGAGGTAAGGTCCCAGAGTAGAGAGGAATCGGATGTGGGAGCTTCTCGGCCCATTACTGGGAAGAGAACATTGAGCCACAGCCTGGTCCTCAAGCCTTCTCCAGCACATCATGCTGAAGGCTGCCTCACTCCTCCTACATCTCCTTGACAACTGCAGCTCAGCCCAGTGCTGTCGCCCATTCCCCAAGGAGATGCAGGTACTTGAAGCCACCAAAACCATCGCACCCAAACATAGGTTTTAGGCCCTTGGCTGAAAGAAAAACAGAAGTAACTTAAAACCAAATCTGTTGCTTGATGAAGCTTCAGTTTGGGAAGAGGAAAAGTGGGCAGTAGCGATGGTTTGAATGGTGTGCACCGGCGCTACTGTCTCTCTTGAAAACACTTATGTGTATGATGAACACCTCTGGAATCCACCACTGCTTAAGGTCTAGGATTCTCATGCCTGGCTTTCCTTAAACAGCACGTGGACCTGAGCATCCTTGCCCAGCGTTCTCCCTGCTGTACCTGTGGAACAGGGTTGGCCAGGGTTGCTAGGTTACAGCCGTGGTTTCATCTTTTCCAGGGATAGAATGTGTATAGCCATTGGGCGTTTAGCTCACTGAGGTAATTTTTATCTCACGGTCTTAAATCAGCTCCAGCTGTGAGCACTGCTGGCATCTCATACCTGGACTTACACACTTTTGGGTAACTGCTGCTTTTCCAGTTAGGACTCTGTTGGATTGTTTTGCAATACTCCTTAGTGTTACTAGAGGGGTTCATTTCTCTACCACAGAGGTACATCAGTGGGCCATCAACTCCCACAGGGCAGGACTGGACTAATAGCAGAAACGGAGAGTCTGGCCTTCCAGCAGGCAGCACTCACTGTATCCTACTAATCTGGTCCCCATTGATGCAGCACCTTGCCATGCCCCCACTGACCTGGTCTGACACATTGTACCAGTCATAATCAAAGGAGTGGACATTCTTGATCTGAGAAAACGACAGGATGAACAGATTGTAGCAGGCCCGGGAGGTGTAGAGCAAGATGACGGTGACACCGATAGCAGTCACCTGACACACCGATGAGCCCTGGAAGACAAAGCCAGCAGGAGTGGGCCACTGAGGTGCATCAGCCCCGTCCCTGGTGTCACCCAGTGGGCCTTGATAATTGAGAGCCTTGGAAGGTAGCCAGAGTACCCCACTCCAGGCCCTGCTGCATCTGCACCCCTTCCTCTCAGACTTCTGTTCCCTTCATCTAAAACTTGGAGCTGGGACGATGCCTCTTTCCGTGTGTATCTCTTAGTGTCTTCCTGGGTCACACTCCCCTGTGCTTGAGAAAGGGTCCCACTGTACCTGGAGCTCGCTGGTCCTCCTGCCCCCTCTGCTGAGCACTGCCATTCCGAGCGCATGATGCTGCGCTCCACATTTAATATGGCTTCTGGGGGAGTCGGAGCCAGGTCCTTACGCCTGCGCTTCACTGGCTGGGGCATCAGCCCAGCCCCCAAGGCCTTGATCTTAAGAGCCAGAGTGTCACAAAGCTCATGGGATCCCTTACGTCCCACCGTTCAGTGACAAGATCCTGGCTGACTGCCTGGCACAGCCCGCAAGCCCCGGTCAGGATGCACACGGCCTTGTTCAAGGTCTAGAACCTTCAAGGCTGGGAGCACAGGAGTCCTGCTCGGCCTCTGGGATGGGGTCACGGGTTGTCTGTGACTTATTCCTCTTTATGAAGCTTTATCAGGCTCTGCCTCAGTTAAAGGACCACAGGAAAGCAGAACTGACTGAGTCCTGCACTGAAGAAGAATCATTAAATCAAAGGACCATCTGTCACAGGGGTCAGCTAATATCTGACATCCACCGTTTAAGCCTCCCTTTTAAAAACAGCTTTTTTCAAAAATTTTATGCACAATTCATGTATTAGAAGTAAGATAATGAACTTTATGGCAAAAATTAATGTAAAACTCATCAAAATTTACAAATAAAAGAACTGGCCCAGCTAATGGAGGATTTTCATGAGTCCAGCTGAATCACGGGGTGCCCTGTGAGGGCTAGAGGTGGGGATCTTCATCTACTGACCGCTCCTAAAGACAACCCTTGTGGTTTTCAGGCCAAAGGCACACTGAGACTCAGAGAGTTCCAGAGGAAGGCGACAGCAGGTCTGTCACAGGGCAGCTAAAGCACAGACGCTGGAGAAATCCCAGGCTCCTCACAACTGACAGGGCCAGACCAGAGGAGTAATCAGAGTGAGGATTGAGGTGAGGGGCCAGTGCCCCTGGCTGTCCCAGAGCAAGCTCTGGGAACATTCCACCAGCAAGGAAAGGCTGAATCTGAGTCACCATGGAGGCCATGAACCCTGGCCCTCATTTGCTGACCTGGGACAAGCTTCCTGACCTCTCTGGGCGTGTCTCTGTTTCCTTATCCATTAAGTGGGATTTAACACTCCCACTAAAAATGCTTGTCAAGTCAGGCCTGGATGTGTAAGCCCATAATCCCAGCTATAGTGATGGTGGCTGAGGCAGGGTTATCACCAGTTAAGTGTAGCCTGGGTGACAGTGAGTTCAAGGCCTGCCGAGGCAACTCAGCGAGACCCTGTCTTAGGATTTTTGTTTCGTTTTCTTTGTTTTTTAAAGGCTGGGGACAGAGCTGAATGGTATAGATTTTGCCTAATATACACTACGCCCTGAGTTTGAGCCCATTACCCCATGCCCAAAAGGGTGTTTATCAAGGGACCAAGGACAGTCAACACTAGACACTTGCATGCTATTAGTGTTGTTGGTATAGCTATACTACTAGACAATTAAGATGTGGGTTCAGCCAGGCCTAATGGCACATTCTGCTAGTCCTAACTACTCAGAGGCCTAAGGGGCAGGACCACAAGTTTGAGGCTAGCCTTTGCTGAGTTCAAAGCCAGCCTGGGAAACATCAAAAACCTTGTCTCCAAATAAGAATTTTTCAAATGTGCAGGGCTGCAACTCAGTGGGAGATGCTACCTAGTATGCACAGGCCCTGGGTTTGATCTCCAGCACCACAAAAAGGAGTTAACGGTTAATCAGATGTAGCTCTAAACCAGACTAAGCTTCCCCAACAACTTTTACACACTTAACGTATGCTAAGCCACCCAGAAATAAAAGTTCACACAAAGTTCAGTGAGCCACAGGGCGAGCAAGATCTGCTGTGCCCTAGGTGCAAGCCAGGAAGCCGTTTTCAGAATAAGGAACTTGCCACATTCCCACCTTACCTTTGACTCCAGGTAGATGTTGGCTAGGGACATCTTGGAGATTTTGTAGAGGCAGATGGAGAGAGAGACGGCACACAGCACAAAGAGTGTGTCATTGATGGCCACTCTCACAGAGACGATAACCTTCCTCTCCCAGGTTCCCGTCTTCACCAACACAGCGCACGTCAGATTCACCAGCAGGAACACAAGACTGATGAAGAGCGAGGCCAGGTAGAGGGGTAACCTGGTGACAACGAGAAACCAGGATGTTACATGAGTTACATTCTGGGTCGCAGAACCGATCCCTCGCAAATGCTAAGGGACAGCTGGACGTAGTTAATACATCATTTGCATATGTGTTGTATGCCTCCCCCCACACTCACCAGCTGCAGAGAGCTCCCATCAGTAAAAACCTGCCACCGGGGCTGCAGACACAGCTCAGCAATTCTTCCTTCCAGAGGACCTGGGTTCAATTCCCAGCACCCACATGACAGCTTACAACTGTAACTCCAGCCCAAGAGTCACCTTCTGGCCTGTACTGGAACCAGGCCCACACGAGGTGTACACAGATATACTCAGACAAAACACTCATACATAAAATGAATACAGGTTTAAAATAACCAAACGAAACAAAAAAACCCTGCCGCAGCTGAGGCTGGGAACTTAGCTAAGTGGCAAAACCCTTGCCTAGCATAGAGACCTGGATTTGAGCTCTAACAGTGCAAGGAAACCACAACACAAACCTGCCACGGCAACTAATAAATGCTAAATGGATTTTTTTTTTTTTTTTTTCAAGACAGGGTTTCCCTGTAGCTTTGGTCCCTGTCCTGGAACTAGCTCTTGTAGACCAGGCTGGCCTCGAACTCCCAGAGAGCCGCCTGCCTCTGCCTCCCGAGTGCTGGGCTTAAAGGCATACACCACCACCGCCAGGCTAAATGGATTATTCTTATCAAACTACAGAGCCAAGCCGTAGGTGGTTCATTTCCCTGCCAGTTCCCGCTTACAGTTTCTCAGAGCTACACGCGGGTAAGAGACCGCCACCACAGGTGACACAGACTGCTCCGCCTCACTTGGGATCTCACCTCAGGCTCCTCTCACACTCCCGTTATAGCTCTTCCCGCAGACCCACGTGGTAGAAATGCAAAAAAGAGGGAAATCATGTGACTCAAAAACGGACTGGCGTTGAGGGCTCAGCCTTAGTTCACATCCCCAGAACATTCACAAAAAGGGCATGGCTGTACACACCTGCAGCCCAGTGACTGGAGGTGGCTAGGGTGACAGATGGGAACTGTCTGGCCTAGTTCCAGATTCAGTGGGAGACGACCTCAAGAGAATAAGGACTGGGATAGAGCTGGATGCACAACATCAATGTCCTCCTCTGGCCTCTGAGTGGATAAGTGGACACATATGCATGCATGTACCCCGCCCCCTGCACACATGCATACATGCACACACACATGCACACACACACACACACACACACACACACACACACACACTAGACTGGTCCAAGTGACCTATGCTTCTAGTCTCAACACCAGTTAGAAGCCGTGACCCCACAAAGCCTTTTGCTCTTTGGCTTCCAGAACAGCCTGTAGCTAAGCTCAGCAGCTGCTACAGAGACCTCTGTTGCCTCTGACCCTCGTGCACCCTCCATTTTCTCTGCTTTCCTGGGTCCCTCACACTTAAATTCCACAGGTTTCTCATGACTGAGAACCAGAGAGATTTAAGAACCAAGTCATGCCTGCCCCCACCTACTCAAGGTTCAGAGCCTGAGGCCTGACTGTGCTCACACCACCGCAGGCGGGGTTTCCTGCCGCTGTTCTGTATGTTCTGAGATGGAAGAACAGAACGTGGTTCAGCCGCTAGTGTGCTCGCCTGGCACGTATGAGGCCCTGGGTTCGATTCCCAGTGCTGAGTTAGCCGGGAGTGCTGGTGCACGCCTGTGGAACCAGGAAAGGATCAGCGGTTCACAGCCATCTTCAGTGACCTTCTAATGAACTGGGGGTCAGTCTTGAAGACATGAAACCTCGCCTCGGAAGGAAGGGCTCAGGCCCAAAACCCTGCGTGAGATACCTGAACCTGGCTCCCTCTGACTCCCAAACTACAACATCCTCTTGCTGGAGACAATTTGGCATGAATGACGAGTATCTTTCCAGGGGACCGGGGATGCCTCCCCGCACAGCCTTGTACCCAGAGCCACACACACCCCAGACTCATCTGATGAAAAGGGGAAGCCAGCTCTAATGACAAGGAGCTCAGAGTGTGCGTGTACCCTGGAAGGAGAAACATGTGGCCCAGAGAAATGAGATCCCGACAGACCAGAAGGCGTATGTGATTGGGGTTGGACACAGGCACGGGGGCACTGAAACTCCACCCCAGACTCCCACCCCTACCCCACAAGACAGAAGAGGTCAGACTGCTCTGTCTGGAAGACGCAGAACCTCGACGGCTCACATCACTGCGGGTCCTGGGAGGTGGAGGAGCTGCAAGCGGAGGCAGCGTCGTTTTCATTTCTTCCCACGTTGAGCATCACTAATCCAGAGGCCACAAAAGCTAAGCAGGGTCAGCCTGGTTAGCACCGTGATGGGAGATGACGGTGCAGAGCACAGACAAGCTGGGCTGTTACCATAAAACAGCGGTCTACTCATTGCAAACCGAGTAGCCCTCATCCAAAACGCTTGCGACTAGGCAAAGCCCTGGTTTAATCCCAAGTACAATTAATTAATTATAAAATTAAGTTGTTTTGGGGCTGGAGAGATGGCTCAGTGGTTAAGAGCACTGACTGCTCTTCCAGAGGTCCTGAGTTCAATTCCCAGCAACCACATGGTGGCTCACAACCATCTGTAATGAAGATCTGGCGCCCCCTTCTGGCATGCGGGCACACGTGGAAGAAATGCTGTACACCTAATAAATAAATCTTTTTAAAAAATTGTTTTAAAAGCTGGGAATATAAATTAGAGTGAGTGAGGTATCTCAGGAATAGCCCCCAAGTGTAAACAACAACAACAAAACGAAACAACTATGTTTCATCCGCACATTCAGGTGCTCTGTGTTGAGGGTATTTGTAATTTTGAGATTAAGGGTACTCTACCTCCTGGCCCCAACAGCCCAGCATCTAGGGGATAAAGCTCCCGCTCAATGGTGTGGAGGAAAAACACAGAGAACGACACGGCAGCAGTGACAGAATCAGAGCACACAAACTGCAGGCAGGCAGTGTTGGGCACAGACTCCCAATCCGTGCACAGTTTTCTGAACTTGTGTCTCGGATACAGACTGGGAATGAAAAAATAACTCTTCTGGTGGCCAAAGAGATGGCTCTGTGGTTATGAGAGTGTGTGCTCATCCAGAGGACCCGGGTTCAATCCCCAGCACCCACAGCAGGCAGCTTACAGCACCATATAACTCCAGCTCCAGAGGGAGCCAACACTTCCAGCGTCCTCGGGCATCCCCATAAACACAAATACACACACACACACACACACACTCAAAAGCATTTAAACAGATTGAGCGTTGAATAACTATTGTAGAATCCTCATTACACACACAGTTGATGGGGGAGTGATTTCTTAATAATAAAGAAACTGCCTCGGCCCTCATAGGACAGAAAATTAGGTAGGCGGAGTAGACAGAAGAGAATTCTGGGAAAAAGAAGCTGAGGGTGAGTCGCCATGATGCTCCCACTCCAGACAGACGCAGGTTAAGATCCTCCCTGGTAAGCCAGCTCATGGGCTACACAGAATATTAGAAATGGGTTAGAACAATATGAAAGAGCTAGCCAATAAGAAACTGGACCTAGCCGCTCCTAATTTCAACACACAGTCATCTCTCAGTATCTACAAGAGATTCATTCCAGGACACCAAAGACACCAAAATCCAAGGATGCCTGGACAACCCTTACATAAAAAGGCCTGTTTGCACAGAACCTATGCACATTTTCCTGTATAACCTAAATCAAGTCTGTGTCATGCAGGATAACCAATATACAGCAAATGACTGACGAGAAAATATGTGTGTGTATGTTCAGTACCGATGCAATTTCTTTCTGGGAGGTTTTTTTTCTAGGGGAGTCGTGCATGGGAGGGGGTATATAATGTATGTATGTGGGTTCATGTGCCACAGCACACATGTGGAAATCAGGGGACAACTTATGGTAGCTGGTTCTCTTTACACTCTCTACACGTGGGTTCTGGGGATAGAACTCGGGTCCCCTGGATGAGCAGTACACTCTCAGAACCACAGAGCCATGACATCAGCCTATTTCTGACCCACTGATGTTGACTCCACCATTCTAAATGGTGGAGTCCTCTAGAGTCCAGAGATCATAGGTATGCACCACATCCAGTTTTTACAGTACTAGGAGTTGAACTCAAGACTTCATGCATGCTGGACGAGCACTAGACCAAAAGTTACATGTTTGAAGCAAGCATGATAGTAAGTACCTGCAAAGCCAGCAAGCAGGAGGCTGAGGAAGGAGGACAGAGAGTGCAAGACACTTGGGGTGTGTGTGTGTGTGTGTGTGTGTGTGTGTGTGTGTGTGTGTGTGTATGCATAGTGTTCCACAGGACTCCAGCCTGGTGTGTATGTGTGTGTGTGAGTGAGTGTGTGTGTGTGTGTACATAGTGTTCCACAGGACTCCAGCCTGGTGTGAGTGTGTGTGTGTGTGTGTGTGTGTGTGTGTGTACATACTATTCCACAGGACTCCAGCAAACCCAACAATGTGCCAGCTCTCGTGAACAAGGAGAGCACTCCATTAGGTAAACAGGACCACTGCAGGGCTGTCTGGTGTTTATAGAGGGTAAGTGTCTACGCGGTTTCATGTACACTTTGACCTTTTGTCTGAGAAGCAACATTCTGGGGTACTTACCGATACTTGAGTAATTCTGGAGAGTATTTTGACTTTGCTTTGAAAATCACCTGCAATGACAGAAAAACATGGAAGATTGGGCATAAAGTGTTTAGCAACAAGATGTCACCATCACTTAAAGTCCCCTTCCTTTTACAGCCAGGTACCAGGCACTTTCCCTGACACTGAGAAGCAGTTCTCAAAAGGCTAAGGTGAAGAGGGACACCAAGTTCCAAGACTGCCCAGGCTACAAAGTGAGTTTAAGGTCAGCTTCAGCAGCTCAGTGAAACCTTGTCTTGAAACGTAAAGTAAGGACCGAGGATGCATACTAATAAATACCTGAGCTCAGTCAAGTGTCAGTTCCCAGGACTGCAGAAAACCAAACCAAACCAAAATAAAAAAAAAAGGGGGGGGGGTGGACTTCGTTAAAGTAGCCAATGAAGAAAAGACAGAAACTACATGACTTTTAAGGGGTGTTTTTAAAGCAGGCATGGTGGTATTTGACCACCATCCCCAAACTCAGGAAATTCAAAAATTTAGAGCCAGCCAAGGCAAGACTCTTGTCACATAAAAAAAAAAAGGTGCTTTATCTTATCATGAAAATACATCACTTTGTTTAGTGTTGTGCTACAGTCGGGCTCATTCAACGTATGTAGCTTTCTTTAACTCACTATCTACAAGTCCCTAAGGCTCAGTGGCTTTACCGTGAGACTAACCATCCCTACCCACGGTGCCTCTGGGAGCTACACTGCCAGCCTGGACACAAGTGAGTGGTCCTATCCCATGAGCTCAGCTCCATGCATGATGTTGTCAGCAAAGAGAAGGCAAAGACCAGCCCTGCCTTCGATGGCTTACAGTCCCACTGAAGAAAATGTGTCCAGATAGCAGACCTACTAAAAGAGTCTCTAACTGCAGCTGGCGGGAGCACAGACTTACAGGCTGCGGACTCAGTCTCTGACTGGGCCACCATCATCCCTGCCCTCAGTAGGGCCGCAGGTGTGGCCTAGGTCACACGAAGACATGGGAAAGACTATGAATGGAGGCCCAGGGCTCCTGTGGGATCCCAGCTCACTCCCAGCCCTGGCCAATGCTGTGTCTGCTTTCTCTGGAATGTGCAGAATGGTGTCCTCACTCAAGAGATACAAAATAGTCCCCACAGTCTGTTGGTCAATACAGCCCCACCAACTATGTACCTTACAAATAAGGAAATGCTTTTTTTTGCTTCTAGAAGTCCCTGGCCCTGCAGCTCTGCTTGCCCACTTTCAGTGAAGGACACACTGAATGAACTCGGGGGAGACCCAACGACCCTAGCTAAGACCCGTGAAAATCTTTTCCCAGCCCCACACAAAGGGCAGGGTTCCCATTTCCAGCACACACGTCTTGGAAACATTTTCCTGCTTCAGCACAGCAACCCACGTGTGAGGATTAGCTGTGAGGCAGAACCTTTACACTGTTCCAACAGAACTGATAATCAATAATAAACAGTATTGGAAACTGAGGATATGGTCATGTGAGCAAATACATGTAGAAACATTAGAAAACATACTTATCATCTTAAATCATTTGTGTGTGCACGAATATGGGCACAGATGTGCCGTGCACGCAGGTGGAGGTCAAAGAGCATCTGTGAGTCTGTCACGGGGGTCCCAGGGATCAAACCCAGGCCATCAGTCTTGGCAGCAGGCATCTTGACCCACTGACCTGTCCTGGGGCCCCAGAAAATACCTGTTCCCTACAGGAGTTCTCAGAGCCTTTAAAAAGACTGCTATAATGTCAGTCTCTAAGAGAAACAAGCTGTGCATCAGTTTTCCAAACTGATTTCATCACTCAGTCTTCCTAATGGCTGCTCAGAGACCAGATGCCGGGGAACACTCCCCTGTGGTAGAGATGGGGTGTTCATGGCAGCCTGAGAACCGGTAACAACACCAACGAGAATGCAACAACAATTAGGAAGAGCAGTCAGGCGTTGGTGGCGCACGCCTTTAATCCCAGCACTCCAGAGGCAGAGGCAGGCGGATCTCTGAGTTCGAGGCCAGGCTCTAAAACTACAGTGAAACCCTGTCTCGAAAAACCAAAAAAATAAAAATATTAATTAGGAAGAGCAAATTTAAAATGTATCCAAGTTTTAGCCCCTGGACACGAATCCAAGGAATACACTAAATAGGAAAGTCGCTCCTCTCACCTGCTGCTATCAAAGATGACACTAAGCTACCAACCCTAACTCACCACTAAGGTCTCCTCCCTGCCTGAAGGGAAGACGTCATCCCAGATGATAGAAGGACACCACTGTGATCCTCCCAAGCCAACAAATCAAAATCAAAACAAAAGCTCCACCTACTTTGCATGTGTGGCAACAGCATCTCATCTGAATGCAGCCAGGCTCCTCAGACTGTGCTCAGAACTCTTCCCTTGTCCTAAAACTTAAGTTCCTTAAAGTTTACAGAAATGACTGACGACTGAAACTGAGATATTAGTGACGTGAGAACGGATATTTGATAGATAGCATACTGATAGATCAATGCAAATATAAAGATTCTGAACATAATTTTGTCCTCATTAATTAAAAGACATGCACACCTGCACTAAGTTGTAAAGCGGTAATAATTCCAGGCTGTCCTGTGCACCCACTCTGTCGGCAGGCCTTCATTAAAGATTGATGGAAACCAGCCTCACGTGACGCCTTGGTCCTTGGGGCCTCTTATCCCACTACCATTTCTGTGAGCCTGCACTGACTCCAGGAGCTTGGCTGGGAATACAGGAAGCTCCTTGGTGGGGAGGCAAAGATGAACCACTCCGTTGCAGTTTACAGAGCCGTTGACAGCACGTATATCCTGATGGATACAAAGTCAGAGCCACAAAAGGTACAGGAAGGAGACCTCACCACCTGACCGCTTAAGGGGTGAACTCAACAAGATTAAGGAAACAATTGTAACGGGCCGTCAAAGGGCTGCCAGAGTGGGCAGCAGGCACTTGGCTGGCCTCTGAACAACTGTGGAAAGGAAGAGCTGGTTCCTGACCTGAAGACAAACAGGCATACCCTAAACAAACACCAGCGAGGAAAGAAGAGGGGAGAGAAGATGGAGGGCGTAGGAAAGGGCGAGAGGAAGAAAGACACTGAATCAGGCATGAGGAAGGGTAAGGAGGTGTGGACGGATGCGAGACCCAGGAAGGTCTGAGGGGAAGTGAGGAGACAGGAGGTGCAAGGGTCTGAGGACAAGCGGGGAAGTGTGAGGTGGGGAATTCTGAAGGGAAGCAGGCGGGCTGACAGGGTGGACAGGCGCATGGACAGGCCAGAGTGTAAGGAGATCTGAGGTGTGGAGGTGAGAGACCAAGAGAGGTGTCAGATAAAAGAGGGGATCAAAGGCAGGGGTAGGGAGGTGTGAAGAGATGGGGTACAGAGGGGTCTGAGGAGGGGAGGGAAGGGTGGAGAGGGGGTACAGGATGGTCTAAGGAGGTGAGAGAGGTGTGAGGTTGTAGGGAGGGGTGGGACAGCGTCAAGATGCGAGTGTATGGAAGTGAGGGAGATGAGAAAAGGTAAAATGTGAGGAGAGATGAAGAAAGGAAGGGAGGTGAGGAGAGAGAAGGGGGGGGAGTATGGGGAGGGTGAGGTTGAGATGTGGGGAGTGTGAGCAGACGTGGGAGGCGTGAGGAGCTAAAAGATATGATAGAGCTTGGATTTGTGGGTTCGCGGGATTTGACAGGATGTAGGTAGGCAGAAGGTAGAATTACAGGGAGGTGTGGGGCAGCGGGATGGGAACTGTGAGGACACAGAGGAGCGGAGGTGGAAGTGTGAGCCTGGGAGCCTCCTGGAGTCCTGGCACAGCAGGAAGGCTGGATCAGGGGGGCCGGGAGACACCAGCCTGGCCCTGGCTTGGGAGGGTACATTCCCAGGTTAAAACCATAGAAGGGTTCCAAGAACTGCTCTCGGCAGAAGCAAAGATGGGCAAATCAGAGCCAAGCTGTAGATGGACGGCTGTCTGGGCAGTTAGGTGGGGAAAAAGGGACTTCCTTTTGGGGTGACAAGTGATTGTAGTGATAGCTGCACCACTCTAAATGCGGTGCCCTTTTAAGTAGGGGAACCGTGGGGCGTGAATTATCCCCTAGTTAAGCTGTTGTTTTGTTTTGCAAAGAGGAACAGAGAGGAGTCAGAGGGCCTATTCAACAGTCAAGGTCAGTCTGCAGAACTGTGGGACAAGGAGGGTTGTCACACATGGGGAGAGGTGAGGCACTATGACTGTGGCCACTGGGTCTGGCAGCTGGGGAAGGCCGGAGAGGGAAGTGCGTACCCAGAACCCCAAGCAGAGGGAAGTGGGAGCTGTGAGTCAAATCTGGACATAACCACTCTTTAAAAATGGATTCAGGTGACATGTCAGGCAGAGGTTATTGGAGGGTGTGAGCTGGCCCTGGTTAAAATTTTAAGACTGAAGATCTGAGCAGGACAGAGGCAGGAGACCCAGCAAAAGGATGGAGAAGCCAGGCCATGGCCTGGGGTGGTTTGAGTAAGAGCCGGCCCCCACAAGGAAACAAGAGTCCAGCTGGCCATCTCTTGTCACCAAAAAGCTTCCAGTACCAGGACTGGGTTACATCTAATGGAGCTGTTGGCCAAAGGAGCCCCACTGGGATCCCCAAACAACTCGGGCTGTTACCAAGACTATAGTTTGTGATTGATTGCTCTCCACAACTAACAGCAAGGCGCCGTTGCTGAAGACAACACCCACACAACTCACTGAACACAGAGATGTCCAGCTGGGACCAGCACAGAGCCGCCATTCCCTCCGTTCCAGGGTCTCTGTCATAGGGAAGTCCTCCGCACACATCCAAAGAGAAATGTAAACACTAAGCCAGCCACAAATACTTTATCGTCAATGGTGCACTGTCTGCAAATAGAGTAATGCTGGCACAAAGCTACCACTAATCATACAATCACTCATTTGACCTTAAAGGCCTAGTCCATGAGATGGAACCCATACTCTGACAATACCTGAAACTAGACAGCCTAGGGACTAAGGTAAAACCAAAAAACTAGTCTAAAAAAGAAAAAAAAGAATGTAGTGATAAAACGATTCCTAAT